AAGAGTATTGTTGGATCAGCCTATAATCTTTCTACATCTGTTCAGCCACCATTATTTTTTTTTAAGAGAATATTTTTTTTTTTCTGAAAGCAATTCAGAATTTGCTTCCAAAGCATAGGCTTATGGAAATAGGTGTTTGCTCACCTCTCCGAAGTTTACCTCAAGACAGAGAGGCCCCTAATGTGCTCAGTGGGTTCCTCGCTCCCCCTTAGGTCGGGTACAGCTCTCGTCACAGCATTCCAGGGTTCTGACAATCCCTTTGCAAACCCACCCATAGCATGGCGCGTAGAAGCATTCATCCCCCAGTGGCCTTGGCCTTGGTTCCTGTCCTCTGCTCTGCTTTCACCAGCACCGGAGGACAGGCCTTCATTTCGATCTGTTATCTCAGGCCATTAAAATGAGCAGAAGGAAAATGCCTTTGAACAGCTCCTGTGTATCATCATAAAGATTCTTAAAATGAATTATCCTGGCCAGTTCAGAGCCTCCTTAACCTCCCACTTCCTGTAAAGGCAGCAAATGGAGAATCCGTGATTAAATAGAGCATTCAGGATAGAAGATGTTGGGGTTGCATATGGTTTCTGGCTAACGAAACCCTTGCTAACAGACTCTCCTAAGGTACAGCATTCATTTTCCAGACTAAGGCATTCATGCCTTCATTTAACGAGCCAGATGCCCTCTCTGTGTCACCCAAATTGTCTAAAGCATGATTAGTACAATCTTTTTTTTTTAAGATTTTATTTATCGGGGCACCTGGGTGGCTCAGTTGTTAGGTGTCTGCCTTCGGCTCGGGTTGTGATCCCGGGGTCCTGGGATCGAGCCCCATATCGGGCTCCCTGCTCAGCAGGAAACCTACTTCTCCCTCTCCCACTCCCCCTGCTTGTGTTCCCTCTCTCGCTGTGTCTCTCCCTGTCAAATAAATAAATAAAATCTTTAAAAAAAAAAAAAAGATTTTATTTATCTATTTATTTGAGAGAGAGAGAGAGAGAGAGAAGGAGCGCAACCCCAAGGAGGGGGAGGAGTAGAGGAAGAAGGACAAGCAGACTCCATGCTGAGCATGGAGCCCAATGTGGGTTTGAACCCACAACCCTGAGACATGGACCTGAGCTGAAATCAAGAGTCCAATGCTTAACTGACTGCACCACCCAGGCACCCCTACTAAAATCCTTCTTGAAGAGTTTGGAAGGCAGCCATGCTCACCACTATACCACCAACGCAGATCTTCTTGAAGAGTTTGGATCTGGTTCTTTCCTAACCACCATTTTTACTCTTTAGCACTACAGTTAACACAGACCGTATAAGCCAAATTTTGACTCAACCCTTTGACCTCACTTGGAAATTTTGGATAGTTCTTTGTCTCTTTAATATTTTTTTTCAGTGAGATAATTGATATGAGCTTATATTCTTGAAGTTTGTTTTTGTTTTTGTTTTGTTTTTTCAGTTAACTCAATTGCTGGGGGGAAAAACCATTCAAATTAACGGTTCTGATTTAGGTTTTCTGGGTACATGGTTTTCAAATTCTTTGCCTCATGGGGTATACTTAAAAGAAGGCCAATTTGCAGAATGCACATGGCAACCACAAAGAGAAATACGGTAATCTGCTATTTGGTTAGAATCAATAAAATATCCCTTCTTAAACCATTGGCTTTACAGAAATTACTCAAGTATACTTCATCAACCCCAAGTATGTATGGTAATCTTCATTGGGGATTCAAAGCCATCCCTTCCTATCAGGGAGTCTCGTCAAATGTCCTAGTCATGTGTCTGTGGGCAGGATGCAGAGAGTCAGGGCATCGATGAGTCACCATGGGTCATTCATGGGCTATGGCTGCCAGTGAACAAAGATGTCATTCAGTTTCATCTGAGAAATAAAACAACGTTTTGGACAATTTACTGAGGTGGCTTAAACTGGGACAGGGTTGAGAATGTGAGAAAAGTGTGACTGCTTAACCAAATACACTCTCTAGTAAAACACATCCTACTCAGTTACTCACTCCTGTGATCACATCTAGATCTTGCCATTCCAAGTAACTGTACCTCTTCCAGAACCGCCTCCCCCCCCACCCCCAATTTCTAATCACCACCTCTGAATTGGGAAGCTCAGTCTGTCTAGTGCCCTGACTTTAATAATACCTCAGCCCCTGCAATCCATTGAACTGACCATCTTTGTACTTGTCTTACCCCTCTTGCCATCCCAATGCTTCCCACCCATTTCCCACCTCCCTCCCTCAGGGTCCCATTAGAATCCCAGGCTTAAGGTACTGCTGTAGATTGAATTCATGCTCATTAACCTCAAAGGGCTTCTGATCAATCAGACCTCATTTCCCTAGTCTATTCGTTCTCCTTATTCTCCTTGAAGACTATTTCATACTTTCCCCTTTCTTCAATCCTCTCACATCTCCTCCCTCATGTCACTCTCTGCCAATGACCTATTTCCTAAGACTGAGAAAATAGAAGCACTTGGCAGAGCACCTCTCCCACATGCTTTTACTGCCACATCCAACAACCTGCCCTCCTTCCCACTTTCCTCGCTGGTATATACCCCACCTATGACCCATAGGAAGGCTCATCCCTTGTCCTACTCAGGAAGAGCACTCCACCTCCTGGAGAAGGATTCTTCAGTCTCTCTCCTGCATTGTTGTTTTTTCTTCCTTTTCTGAATTTTTCTCATCCTAAAAAACAAAAACTCCCTTCAACTGTTATACTTTAGCCTCTGCCCTATTTCTCTGCTCCCTTTTAGAGTCGCCTCCCTTATGGACAACAAAAGAGTAGTCTATGCTTGTGCTCTTCAGTTTCTCACCTCCTGGTCTCTCTTGAAACTGCTGCTATTAGATCTCACAACGCCTCTCCAACCACTGCAATCGGGCCTTTGCCTCCACACTCCACTGAGCTGGCCTCTGCAAGATCTAGAAGGACCTCCATGTTGTAAAACTCAATAGCCAATTCTCTGCCTACCTCTTCTGGGATCTATCAGCATCATTGGTCAGAATTGATCATTCCTTTCTCCTTAAAACACTTGTCTTGGTTTCCAGGACATTATGTGCATCTCTCTTACCTGGGAACATAGACATGCCCTCTTAATGGAGGGGAAGCCACCCAACGCTCAGGCCTTGGATGGCTCATCTCTTTTTTTTTTTTTTGTCTCTATTCACTCCCTTGGTTTTCTCAGCTAGTCTCACAGCTTGAAGCATATCTGCCGACGACTTTCAAATTTGTATCTTTAGCTTGCTTGCACAGCATCCCTGCACTCTTAAGATCATGTTCAACTGCCTAATTGAAATCTACATCTGGATGGGTAATTAACATCTCAGCTGTAATACAAAGCTGAGCTCCTGATACTCATTCTGCCCCTTATACCTCTTCTGCCTCAGTCTTCCCTATATGGAAAGGCCTGATAATGAGTAAGAAATAAAAAATAAAACGAATGGCATGTTCTGTCCAAGCACCTTAAAGTCATTCTTAACTCTTTTTCTCACAGCAAATCTTGCTGCTCACTCTACCTTCAGATCATGATAGGAATTGGACCACTTCTCATCACCTCCATTGTGATCACCTTAATCCAAACCCCCTCATCTTTTGCACAGATTACTGTGATAGCCTCCTGTCTCATATCCCTCCTTTTGCCTTTGCCCACTTTTAATCTAAACACAACACCAGGCTGCTCCTATTATAGTATAATTCAGATCTCATCATGCGTTATTACAAAAGCTCCTAGGTACTCCACCTCCTTCTGAGTTGAAGCCAAAGTCCCTGTGATGGCATCAGAGTCTCACATGATGTGTCCCACTCCCCACCGCCCCCCCATCACCTCACTGTCCTCCTTCTCACTCACCCTCAGCCACATGGGGTTCCATTCTGGGACTTTTGCAACCTCTTGTGTCCTTACCTGGAATGTGCTTTCTCCAGATATCCGTGTGGTTCTGGGTTTACTCAGATGCCATCTTCTTTGTGGGGCTTTCTCCACCATCTTGTATCAAATTGCAAGGTCCTCCCCACCCCCCAAGCCTCTTCTTTCCCCCTTTCCTGCTTTGTTTTTCTCCTTAGAACTTTCTGCCCCACTAGACATTGGGGCCACATAGAGGCAGTATGATGTGGTGGTTGGGATACAGGTAGGACTTAGAGTCAGTTTGCCCGAGTTCGAGGCCTGGCTTGTTACTTAGCAGGTAGTCAAGATAGAATCTCTCGGGGCGCCTGGGTGGCTCAGTCGTTAAGCGTCTGCCTTCGGCTCAGGTCATGATCCCAGGGTCCTGGGATCGAGTCCCGCATCGGGCTCCCCCTGCTCTGCGGGGAGCCTGCTTCTCCCTCTCCCACTCCCCCTGCTTGCCTCTCTCGCTGTGTCTCTCTGTCAAATAAATAAAATCTTAAAAAAAAAAAGATAGAATCTCTCTATTCCTCATTTTTGTCGTCTACAAAATGGGAATAATAATAGCATCCACCTCATCAGGGTGTAGGCATAATATTTATAAAGTTCTTAGACCCGTACCTGGAACATATTAAGTGCTACACAACTGGCTAATATTGACATATTTTATTCATCTTTTTTTATTATGTCTCCCTAACTAGAACATAAGTCCCATAGGAGCAGGGGTCTTTGTTTGTTTTGTACACTGCTCTATCCTCACCACCGTGGGCAGGGCTCACATGGAGCTGGTTCTCAGTAGATAGGTGTAGAAAGGTCACTAAAGTTTCTTAGATACTTAAGAGTCAGTAAGTAAAACTTGTTTAAAATTTGCTTCATAGAATGATGTCCATATGAATAAAAACTAGAGTTCCTCTGTTGCAGATGTTGATGTGGGCCCAGGTGATTTGTGTAAATCATTCACAGGTGGCGAGCCTCTTTCCTAGGTTCCTTAAGAAAGTCACAGAGTAGACTCAAAGTGTGCTAGGTGGGCTTGCCTCGGTTCTACTTCAGTAATAAATATCAGAAATCCTTTTCCTTTGATAAAAATAACTAACTGAGGTCTTCTAGTTCTTCATTCAGTGTTTTCTGATCAGAATATTCTTCAATGTGCCATTCTTAAGAGAGCAAAAATCCATAGGTTACTCTGGAGTCCCCAGTGAAATGGACTCCCTAAATGAAGGACACTATTATTATTCTGCACCAGCTCACAGGTCCAGAAGTATAGACTCAGAAGGGTAAGCTTAAGAGTTCAGATCTTTAGAGGGCCTGGCTGGCTGAGTTGGTAGAGCATGCAACTCTTGGCCTTGGGGTTGTGAGTTTGAGTCCCACGTTGGGTATAGAGATTATTTAAAAATAAACAATTTTTTTCAAAAGAATTCAGATTTTTTTGGTGGGGGCAGTGGGGGAGGGACTGTGAAATTGGTGAAGGGCACTGAGAATACACTTATCCTGATAAGCACTTAATATAACACTCTGTGTTAACTGGAATTTTTAAAAAAAGAGTTCAGCTCTTTCAACACATTGAAATAGCACTGTTTTTGTTGTTGTTGCTGTTTGTCTTGTTTTAAGAAAAAGCAAGTAGCATCAAGTCCTGGCTGAAACATCAGGGTCTGTGTCTTCGCTGTCCCGAGTTTATGTTCTATTCAGCGCGGTGCATGCTTAGAGCAGGCTTGGGCCACAAAGCATCTCAAAATGACTCCAGTCCTTGAGACGGTCTCTGGTGTGCAATTTCCTGAGGATAGGAGTGGTCCTATTTTAACAAGTGATCTTTAAAAATTGAGTTTTACCTCTTCCATGTTTGAGATTAAGAGGTTTAATGACGAAGATCTGGAAGGCTCTGCCCAGTCAAGCCATTCACCATTGCTCCGGTGAATGCATGCCTCCGGGCACTCTTTCTTCCTCTGGCAAAAGTCTGATTCTGCAGCCTCTGGGCATGGTCTGTAGAGCCTGGCACTCCCCTCGGAGCCACACCCACTGTTGTCATGCAGTGAGCACACCAAACAGGTTCTCCGGGCCAGACGGCGGCTGAGGTGTCTGCCGTGGAAGGGAAGTACAGTCATGCTCACACCCGATGACACAGTGACATAAAGGAAGCAACTAGCTGAAAATAAATATAGTCACAGCACGGAGGTGGATTTCCCATGTGGAAGTAATGGAGCTCATGGGCCCCTTTCTGGCTCCACGCTTACTTTTGCATTTGTGATCTTATATATTTTTTTAAAAGAAGGCCCCAAGTTGCACAAGCTTCCAACCCCACAAAAGCTTAATTTACCTGATTATACTAAATTTTGTATTTTTTTTACATACTTACCCATTGACTTGAACAATTCTGTGGGGTTGTGACAGCCCCATTTATAGGAAAAATTGGCAGAGTTGAGAGACTTAGTTAAGGGTACACAGTTAACTTGTCCATGAATTGTGGCCACTCAGTAGGGCCTGAAGTTTTAAACTGAACTTCTTTGGATGTCTTAAGGTATATTTGTTGCTTTACCTAATTTCAAATGCATCTCCCACATTAAATGACTTGGCTCTCTTTTATTTCATGCTTGTGGAAACGTTCAGAACAAGCTTGCCAAATTCATAGCATTAGATGATAATTATGAATCATAAAAAGTCTAGTCTCTCCCATGATCTTTTGGCCTGTTCACATCTAGTGGATAGAAATTATTATTTAGAAGATCTTGTGAAAAGTGGAGAAATCAATTGGAAGCAAAAATACTTATATTAAAATTTTTTAAATAGATTTGTCAGTTTTCACCTACTTTTTAAAAAGGCTTTTGTAGTCCATAAGACGAATGTCTTGATTAATTAACAAATTTGATGTTTATATAGTTAGAGTTTCTTAGTATAAGTTTTAAGCACAGAGAAGAGTTAATATTGTTTGTCTCTAAGACTGTAATTAGCACATATTCTGAACATTCTTCCCAATTCAAAGAGCTAGCCAGGAAGGGTAGCTGAGAGTGAAAATAATGCTTGGTTGAGTCCAACACACAGACACAGAAGATATAATTGTTGAGAACCAATACACAGCACTCTAATTCTCTGGCCAGCATCAGAATCCCCTGGAGGGGGCTTGTTAAAACACAGATTACCCTCTGACCCCTCCGCCCCTGAATTTCTGATTCAGTAGGTCTGAGGTGGTATCGAGAATGTGCATTTCTAAGAAGTTAACAGGTGAGGCAGACATTGCTGGCTCTAGGACTCCACTTTGAGTACGATTGCTCTAGAACTCCTGAGTCCACAATCCTATGTGAATGCAAACCTTATTACATATTCAACCCTCACCAAACTCAGCACAAAGGCACAAAAAAGTCCACAATAGTTTTTGCCAGCCATTCTTTAGAATCTGATTGGACACCAATAGACTATCAATAGTTTGGTAACTACTCTTTTTGATCTCAACATGGGGAGATCTTTCTCGTTTGGGCTCTGATTAATAACTGGGCACTTCTGTAGAGCCTCAATAAACAGTGAGAGTTTGAAATAATGAAATAATTTGCTATGTCATTGGTCTTATGAGATGATAGCCAACAATAATCAATCAAAAACTGGAACATGGAAACTGAGCACACGGAGCGTAAGAGTTCTCCCTGTGATTACAGACTACAGTGCTGGGTTCCAGAACATCTTCAATACAGAGAGCAGTGGATGGGAGGAAAATTCAACCACTCAATTGCATATCATCGAATTCTCTGTCTGCCTTTTCAAATCTGGATCAGTGTCCCTGAACCCATTTCCCACACCATATTCTCTTCAACACAGCCAAAAATTATACTTTTTTGTACAAATATAATTTGTCCTTCACAGACTTAGCAGAAAGAACAGTCCTTAGCATTTGTTTATTTTAGTGAATAAATCAATATACTAATATTAATATATAATGTTCCTATGCATCTGTTTACCAACATGCTCACATATCCCCATTTAAAGAGATATGTTTTCCTCTATTTTTTTTTTTTTTTTACTATCTCTTATGTTTTGTCTTTTGCTGCCTCCCCTACTTAAATAGATTTCTCAAAGTAGGAAGAATTGCCTTTGTCACAGTGTAAAACCCATGGGTACTGGTACCAGGTAGGCTGCAAAAGCAACGGGTGCTCCAAAAATATTTGTCAATAATGCATAAAATAGGCCACGCTCCCTAAAGCCAAGTAGCCTAATAAACAATTTGCTCAAAATTCAGCATCATCTTTGAGAGATTTTCATCAATTTGAGCGACCCATTTTTGTTGTTGCTGGCTCTTGGCGTTTGGGGAATTAATAAAACCTAATTTTGCTCCTTGGAGGAGTGGCTGGTTCCAGGATTATGGCACAGATAATACAAGACAAGCCTGAAATGTCTTGTTGTGCCAAAAGGAAGATAACGCTCAAAGAATGAGGGAAATTATCAAAAGATCACAGGGGTCAGCTTTGAGCTACTGCCACGGCTAAATAAGGGACATTTAAAGATCAAAATAAATCTCAAGAACAACCTATTGTAACTTATTAAATAAAAGAGGAATCCATAAATCTAATATGAAGATCTAACATAAAAAGTGGGACAGAAGGAAAAACTACCTCTCAGAATAATGCCAACTAATATATATATAAAGAATGATGGAATTCTCCCTTTGGCAGCCTCATCAATGGATGCTAAAACTAGTGGGTAAAAGTGTAAGGAGTCACAGGATATATATATAGTTTCAAAGTATGTCCTCATAAGATACTTATTAATTACAAAGGGTTACTGAGTAACTTCACAATGGAGAAATCTGGGAGGCACCACCCCAATCAGCTGTCAAAGTGAGCATTGTCAGAAACGACTTATGTGCCTCCTGTTACTATGTACTGAAGGGAATTCAGCATCACTTCTGCGATCTCGCTGTCAAAGTGCACAACCTGAATCCAATCAAGAGAAAACATCAAAGGAACCAAACTGAAGAACATGCTACAAAATAACTGTCTATTTTCTTAAAATGTCAACATCAGAAAATACAAAGGAAGACTCAGGAACTGCTCCAGAGTAAAGGAAATAAAAGAGACATGACAACTGAACACATAGTTTCAGATTTTCTCTTTTTTTTTTTTTAAGCTTTTATTTATTTATTTGACAGAGAGAGTGAGAGAGCACAAGCAGGGGGAACAGCAGAGGGAGAGGGAGAAGCAGGCTCCCCACCAAGCAGGGAGCCCGACGTGGGGCTCGATCCCAGAACCCCGGGATCATGACCTGAGCCGAAGGCAGATGCTCAACCATCTGAGCCACCCAGGTGCCCCCAGATTTTCTCTTTTTAAAAAAGACATTACCGGGACAAATGGTGTATTAGTTTTCTATGGCTGCACAACAAGTGACCTCAAATTTAGTGGCTTGAAACAATACAACTTTATTCTCTTTTATTTCTGTAGGTTAGAAGTCTGACAGGGATCTTCCTGGGTTAAACTCAAAGTGTCAGCAGGGCTGTATTCCCCCTCTGGAGGCTCTAGGGGAGAATCTCTTCCCTTGCCTCTTGCAGATTTTCGAGGCTGCCCACGTTCCTTGGCTCCTGCCTCCCACTCCATCTTTAAGCCCCAAATGGCAGGCTGAGTTCCCATCTCATTGCATCACCCCGACCTCCTTTTCTGCCTCCCTCCTCCAATTATAAGAATCCTTATGATTATTATGTTGGCCTACCCAGATAACCCAGGATAATCTACTTTAAGATGGGCTGATTCACAACCTTAATGACATCAGAAACCTAAATTCCCCTTTGCCGTGCAACTTGACACATTCACAGGTTCTGGGGATTAGGATGTGAACATCTTTGGAGGGACCATTAGTCTGCCTACCACAAATGGTGCAATCTGAATAATGGCTGTGGATAAGATAATCATATTGTATTGATGGTAATTTCCTGATTTTGACAACTGTGCTGTAGTTATGTAAGAAAGTTCCCCGTCTTTAGGAAATATACATTGAAGTATTTACGGGTAAAAGAGCATCATGTCTGCAACTTAAAACATTTCTCTCTTTCTCTCTACGCAGAGAGCAAGAGTGAGAGCAGAGAAAAAGCAAATGTGATAAAATGTTAACATTTGAGGAATCCGAGGAAAGAGTACTGAAGAACTTTTTATACTATTCTTACAATTTTTCTGTAGGTCTGAAATGATGTAATAAAAAATTTTAAATGTAATCTTTATAAATAAATTTTCTATTTCTAATAAATACTTAAATTTGTGGCATATTGTTATGAATGACCTGTTAATTCTGATGGATCTTTTAAAAATCTCTTTTGAAACTTTCAGGACATTTTAGCAAGTGGTTTAATGACATTACTTGCAGTTAATTATGAACACATTATACATCGGGCAGTCTTGATTGTATTACGAAAGTAAAATCAACTATCCACACTCCTGTTGTCCCATAGCTTGGGTATTAATGCTGAGTATTTTTCATTTTGCTTTAATGTATTACTTTAAAAATGGGGTCTCGAAAAAGGTTTTTTAAAAGCAGGCAAAAGACTATAGTTACATCTTCTACCAATAGTTTCTTAGTTTTGGTAAATGTACCATGGTTATATCAGACGTTAACATGAGAGGAAGCTAGGTGAGCCAGCCCTATGCTCCTTATCCCTGATTCTAAGTAAGGGAAGAGAAAGAGAGGGAAAAACCATAGGCAACGAGAGGGGTGTGAGCTGTGTAGGGTATATGGCCCAGATGCTGAAAGACAATTCCATTCCACGTAATAATTCTGCCACTAACTGGTTCCTTAATATTGGGCAAATTACTAATATATTTAAATCCTGCCTTGATCTCTCCAAAAAAGGGATTTGAGGAACCTTATCATAAAGTACATGTACATAATAGGAAAATGGATCATAATCATGAGAGAATACGGTAAGATGCTAAAATAGTGGTTAGGGGGGCGCCTGGGGGGGGCGCCTGGGTGGCTCAATCGTTAAGCGTCTGCCTTCAGCTCAGGTCATGGTCCCAGGGTCCTGGGATCAAGCCCCGCATCGGGCTCCCTGCTCGGCGGGAAGCCTGCTTCTCTCTCTCCCACCCCCTCTGCTTGTGTTCCCTCTCTCGCTGTGTCTCTCTCTAATAAATAAATAAAATCTTTAAAAAAAAAAAATAAAATAGTGGTTAGGGTGATGGGGCAGCAAGCCATGGTTGTATCTCCTCGTTGGTCAAATGAAGACCCTCAATAAATCAGGGGCAAATGAAAGTAAATAATCATGAAGGTACCTTTAAAAACATAGTATACGGTGCAAAATACCTTGATAGCGTTAGTCCTTCCCCAGTCCTTCAGAAATGTAAGGAGGTCAACCTGACTGAAATCTATGTGGCAAAACCCATCTCTCTGGCCAGGTCTGAGCCTCTGTCTCAGCCCGACTCAGACAGCGCAGATAGCAGACTGTCTGAGCCAAGAGGGATGAGCAAGTTGTAACACAAACTTCTCTGACCCTGCTCAACATGTAATCACTGAAATCACAGTTGTTTCTACCGAGGCTTTATCTTGGACGCTGGCTCAGCAACCCAGGAACGTGTAATCCACACTAGGACAGCACATCTTCTCCAGACATTTCTGCTCATGGCTGGATTTGAGCTTACTCGGCACTAACCTCAGCTTAGAAACCACTCTCAGGAGGAAAAAATTGCCCATGCAAAGAATGGGGATCAACTGACACAGAGGAAAAATCGGATCCTACATCCTGGAAGGCAAGCACAGAATATTCAGAAAAGAATTGCAGTAGAAATTCTTTTTATATATATATATATATTTATTTATTTATTTATTTTTGAGAGAGAGGCACACAGAGGGAGAGGGAGAAGCAGGCTCTCCACTGAGCAGGGAGCCTGACATGGGGGCTCGATCCCAGGACCCTGAGATCATGAGCTGAGCCAAAGGCAGACGCTTAACTGACTGAGCCACCCAGGGGCCCCTGCATTAGAAATTTTTAACACTAGTTGCTATGGCACACAATTTGATGATTGAATTTATTTAATTATTTTTAAAAATATTTTACTTATTTTAGACAGAAAGAGAGGGAGTTGGGGGAGAAGCAGAGGGAGAGGGATAAGCAGACTCTGTGCGGAGTGCAGAGCCCAGTGGGGGGCTCAATCCCACGACCCTGAGATCATGACTTGAACCAAAATCAAGAGTCAGATGCTTAGCTGACTGAGCCGCCCCGGCGCTCCTGATGATTTCATTTAGTTACTGAAACGACAAAGGATCTCAGTACAAGTACAGAAACCACAGGCTCAAAAGCAACAGTCTGAAGCTCAAGTAGAATTTTTTGTTACTAGCCATGGTGAAAAAGGATTATGGGAGGAGAGAGAGGTGTCCTCAAAGGTATGACCAGGCACATTTCACAGAGAATCAGTTAAATTGACATACTCATGGGAACAATGCTGTATCCGAGGGTTACATTCTTGATCAAGAGCCTGATGCTCAACTTTTTATAGAAATAAATACAAACTATACTGAATTCATCACAAGCAATGCCTGCATGGCCTATATTACAAGGCCCTCTAAGGCACCAGGGTGAACAGGATGAAACACTAACCAAGCTGTTGAAATTTACCAGGCCGATTCCCAGGAGTTAGGGAAAAAGAAAGGGAACTAATGTTATCATGTGGGCCGGGAGTCAGAGGTATCTACAGAAGGGGCTGTGGGTAAAACTGGCAGACACACGCAGCGCTGGGAGCAGCGAGTGTGAGGCTGGGATGCAGAGCGGACCACGCCAGCTGGTTGCCGCTTGCGGAGCTGTGTGGTGTGTGGGTGCTGTGCCATTTGGTGAAAGACAGCGGTTTTGCTTCTCTTCCTGCAAATCCCTCCTTCGGTGGGAGTACTGAGAGAGCAGAACGATGCTGAAAGCAAGGGACAGAGGGCATTAACAAGCATCCGTAAACCTCGCTTTCTGCTCATGCAGGGGAAAAGTAACAGAAATGGGAGAATAGGCAAATGAGAAAGGTTGAGTTTACCTTTAGACCATTTAGAAAACCCAGTGACCACTTCCTGTATGCCTCCTAACCCTGAGGATGTGGACAGAAATACACAGACCGGGATCTTGGGGAGTAGGAGGGAGCTTGGGGGGAAAGGTCAGTGAGAAACACCTGATCAATAAACATGTGTCAATGCTAGAAGCCAGTACAAGGCTGGGGGGCTGGTGGACACAAGGAAGGACTGACCAATGTCAACAGAGCAGGTGACACCTTGACCTCAGGCTTTCCTGTAATGGAAAGGAGAAAGAATACCATGGACAGGGAGAAGAGTTAAAGAAATGACATGTTATAACAACACTGGAAATGTTGAGGTTTCTCTTATTTAAATTCCCAACCAGGAATTTCTTAGCTTTTATTTGACTTCTGCTAAATATTTCCTTTTCTTAAGCATGTCATTAATTTTTTAAAAAAGATTTTATTTACTTATCTGAGAGAGAAAGAGACAGAACACATGCAGGGTAGGGGCAGAGGGAGAGGGAGAAGCAGGCTCCCCGCCGAGCAGGGAGCCTGAAGGGGGCTCCATCCCAGGACCCTGGGATCATGACCTGAGCCAAAGGCAGATGCTTAACCGACTGAGCCACCCAGGCGCCCTGCATAGAATTAATTTCTATTTAGAGTATCATTTGTGTAGAGCAGATATAATCATCTTGGGGGACTCAGTACAAATATAAAGCACTCTTGCTGATAACTTCTGAACCACTGGAGCCTCTGATAGATTATTTACTAGGAAGTTTCTTATTTTTTCACTCCAGTGATTAATATCTACTTCATTTAAACCTGCTCAGTGTGAACAGGCAAAATTACCTGCTATGTACAACTGTCTTGTTTCTGGTCCCATAAGCTAAGGGCCTGGAGAGAGGTGATCTTTCATTGGGATGGGTCCTTCCTCACCCTATGAAGCAGGCACCATCTGCCTTTCTACTTGGTGGCTCTCCTGGGTGCCAGAGCTTCTTTAGCATTCCACTTTGAGCTTAGTGAAGTGGAGCTGGTGAATTCAGATTTATCAGGGGGCTAAAAATGCTTACTTTAAGGAGTAAACCTTCGGGGATATTTTGCATCAGATTATGCCAATACCAACCTTGGAGAAACTGCCGACCCGCAAGTTTTTAAAATCCCACTCATCACTTGGACAGAGTAACTAGACAGATGTGTTTGCGTTTGAATCAGGTCCTACAAACAGGTTAAGAACAGGGTATGCGTGAAAGCGAGGAACTAGTGCCCTCTAAAGCTCTCTCTGAGCAAGTCCAATCGAGGAGAGTTCAGGTTCTTCACAGGTGTCATAGTTACAAGGATTTAGAAGATCAGGAAGGTGGCAGGTCATCCGCAGGGACTCAGGGCTATGAACAGAGCACCGAAGAGGAAACCAAAGCCTTCCTGCTGTCTCCGTATCTAAAACTCTTCACCTGGCCTCAGATGACTCCCGCTGGGTCAACCCTCCAGATGGGCTGAGGCACGGATGAGCTACTCTGGCCTGCCGGCTCAGCACATCACTTACTTTTTCTCTCTATTTCCTTATGTTCGAGAGTGGTTTTCATCACCTCAAGAGACCCCCTTTAGCTGAAGTTATGGGCATATTTACAGGTAGAAAGACAACTTTTTACATACAGCTGCTAATTTAAGAAGCCCAAATAATTTTAAAATAGTCTTCAGGTGTCACTAAGCAGGCACTAATCATAGCCCAAGGGGTCCGGTACATGGCAGCCCTCGGGCCCGTGCCTGTTTTTGTAAATAGTTGTGTTGGACTCATTTGTTTACACACTGTCCGGGCTGCTTTCAGGCTGCAAGGGCAAAGTCGGTGTAACAGAGACCATAGGGCCTGTGAAACCTACAATATGTATAGTCTAGCTCTTTACAGAAAAAGTCTGCCTACCTCTGGACCACACCAAAGTATCCCCATCTGAGAAGGGGAAAAAAAGTATGTATATATATGTGTGTGTGTATTACTTGTATGTATAATATATACACACATATACACACACACACACACACTTACAGCATGTACCTGCACACATATTGGACTGTTCTCAAGGAAATAAGTCACCCAAAGAAGGTATTACAAGCAGCTTTCTCTTCATCGTACCTTTCAAAACATCCTGTCCCCAGTACCACACTCAGGCCACACCAAATATAAAGGGTTACAAATATTCAGATTTTATTATAAATAAAATACTGTTTTTTTTTTTTAACATTAAAAAAAGGCCAAGTGTTGCATTTTATTCACCACCCTGGAGAGCGAGACTGTAGAGATTAAGGCAAACGGCTAAGGTGAAGGCACATATCAAAGGGCCACCGCGGGGATTACAAGGAAGAATTCCGGAGAGCAGCTGGATACGCCCCCCGCGACCCCCAGCATTCTTCAGCAGCCACCCTGTCAGTTTTATTACATGAAATTCAGGTAACTAGAACCATACAATAAAATAATGCATATTGCAGGAGTGTAATGAAGGTATTGTCTTATAAAGAGCTTTTTATTTTAAAAATAAAATTCTGTTTAAAAATATATGACACAGATGGAGAAGGAGAAAAGCAACCAAACCAAACCAAACAAAAAAACTCCAAATTTCACTGCGGTCTACGACTGACTGGTGTGAGGCTGACCCACAGGCTAGAGGGACAACTATCCCGGCAGTCGATCTACAGTCCTTGTCCTGCGACCTTGAACAAAATGTCTCTGTTAGGAGGTGGCCCCTTACCACGAGGAACTAGCTAGGAGACGCTGATGTGAAAACTTGGCAGGAACGAGCCTGGCCTCTGGCAACAGTAGAAGCGGCCCAGGGAAAGCCAGGGGTATGCCAAGTCAAAGCCTTTGGAACCGACTCTGGTATGCAAGCAGGCAGCAGGGGAGACCCCGATGCACGGCCGCTCCCACTCTACCTGTCTGTACTCCATCCCTGGTGCCCTCTGAGTGCTCAGTGATCACACCCTCCCTTCTCAACGGACCCGTCCATAGCTCCAACTGTCGGAAAGGTCATTTCTAGCTCATTCCCAGTTAGGCCCACATTGATGCTGAAGATGCCGTTCAGCAAAACATCCTCATCCCGCCACCTCCTGTCGACCTGACACGCCTGCTCGGGAGCGGGCCTCAGGAACATCAGGCTGCAATTTCGGGGGGCGGGCCTGCGGTGGAGGAGGGTGGGAGGCACCCCTGCAGAGCGGCTGGGTGTGGAGGGAAGTGGGTGGACATTCGCGCTAGAGAATGAACATGCTGCAGACACAAGGCGCAGGGCAGAGCGATGGGGGGGCAGGTGCAAGGCAAAGGACTGCAGACGGAAGGGAAGGAGGTATACAGACACATTGTGCCAGTGAAGGGGAAAAATGAAGAAGTGAACAGACAGTGCCATTCTAGAAATAGGACCAAGTATATTTACATAAATTCCTTACTCTATAATCATGATAAACAACAACAAAAAAAACATTCACACAAAAATATAAATTTGAAATAATTAATAGCACCAGTGTGTCAGATAATAGTTTCTTTCCCCCCGCTACGCAAAGTACAAAGTTGCATAGTGTTAAAGGCGATATATATGAATCTCAAAGGTGGGTTGGTAGGAGGAAGGCGTTGTGGGGCAGAGAATCTTCATACTGTGATCTTGAAAGAAAACCACAGAGCTGAGGATCCAAAGTTGAGAAGCCAGCTAGGCAAGTCCACCTACGGGTCTTCCCTCTGCACTGAGAGGGAAGGTTTCGAATGGGTTTCAATCACAAAGTGCAGGAACTAGATGGTGCTGGCAGCTGTGTGAACTACTGAGTGCAGGGATTTGCCACCAGGATTTGGCAGGCGTGTAGAGGGACCCTAGAAGATGGGAACATCAGAAGGTAATTGAGGAATAGGGTCAAAAGTGTCATCTCTCCCCAATGGAAGAAAAAAATGGATATACGGGATCCTGACAATACAAGTTGCATATAAGTTTTATCCCTTTGCGAGGAAAGACTAGGACAAGGTGGCTTGTTTCTTGTTTGTCAAGATCTTAGGGATCAACTGCTCTCTACCAGATAACAGCAATAGTTCCAAGACTAACACACTAAAAAAGCTCTAGGTATTAGTTTGATTTTGAAAAAAAACAAAACAAAACAAACTTTAGTGGTTATCATATCCCTATTTCTTCTGTATAAATTCCATTTATAGGAATATCAGAAGACGTCTATTGGTGAGTGCAAGCTGCCCATCCAGATTTATCAGCTGCCCAAAGATCTGATAAAAAGTGTATCTTCCTAGTCAATTATTAACGTATGAGAAAATGTTCAGCCTACTTCTGCAGCCTCATTCTCCTGGAGACTGTCAGGAATAATTGCAGCCTTACCCGTGGATGGCTCAGTGTCCTATACTCAAAATAGCTAAAGCAACTGACGATGGCTCTTGACGTTCTAAATGACCAATATCTTTGGCACAGGACGTTTATTTCCTTTTGCGTAAAAGGAGGAGGGGTGGTAGATGTAGGTGCACTTTCTTTATCGACAGACTGGATATCCTGGCCATCGCACCGTGGCTACTAGTGGCCAAACTTTTCCTTCATAGAAACAAGAGTACTGAGACCGAGGAGGTTCTGCCGGTATCCAGGAGAAAAGGGAGGGCCACTTGCTCAGCCCCGGCAGACAATGGTTCTCACGAAGTGTTTACACCACTGTATGATCACATAAGATGCCACGTCCTCACGCGACTCAGAAGGGAAAGTGTGGGTAAGGGAGTGCCTTCCGTGGAAGAGAGACTATCAGATAAAACCCTCTGTTCCCGATTCATGATGTCTGACTTACTTCTCTTTAAGCTTTGTGAATTTTCCTGGTTCAAAAGGACAGTGGTGGAGAGCAGCAGAGAAGTGGGGGTCTGAAAAAATGTAATCTGTGTGTTAAGGCACTTTGTGGCCTCACAACGGCTCCCCGGTTGGGGGGTGCTGCCTTCCAGCCCTAAAAGATGACTCTAGGGCTTTTCGATGGACGGGGTGTTGAAGCAGCCAGATGGTAAGGTCTTCTTGATGTCTTCCAGGTTGCGAATGTCCTTCATGATCTCCTCGATATCTCTGTTATAGTCCATGATGGCGGCCTCCTGCTTCCTGGCTTCATTCTCCAGATCAGACACTTTCCTGTCCAGATCACTGACTTTCATTTCATCTTTGGCTTTGTTCAGGGTGCCTTCGATCTCATTGAGCTTGTTCAGGTCCACTGTGTCCAGCTGCCCTGTAGAGTCAGAAAGGACACAGGAGGAAACAGATGCACCCAGTAAGAATCATCACATCGCTCCGCAAGCACCTCCACTTTATTTGACAGAAAGAGACACAGCGAGAGAGGGAACACAAGCAGGGGGAGCAGGAGAGGGAGAAGTAGGCTTCCCGCGAGCAGGGAGCCCGATGCGGGGCTCCATCCCAGGACCTTGGGATCATGACCTGAGCCGAAGGCAGATGCTTCACTGACTGAGCCACCCAGGCGCCCCTCCACTAGCCTGTCTTATAAATGAAGCCCAGCAGCTGCCGCTATGCAGTGGTGGCCTGCAAACGGGACTTGTAGACCATTCGTGTCATGCAAGGGCATGAACTATGCAGACCAAGTGTAAACATGGACCTAACTCGGCGAGGACAGGTCAGAGCATATAATGGATACTGGGCTGGATGTTTTCTCTGAGGAAAGTTTTTGTGAGATGTTGTCTAAATACACAGCTGCCTTGCTTGAGACCTTAAGCCGCACCTGCGGTTTTGAAGGTCATCTGGTAACGTTTGATACCATTTTCATGTTTATGTATGTAACCTGTATGTCATTTTAATGCTATCTAATGAACATAAAAATCTTCGGGCTAGAACTGTAAGCCCTCGGCTCTTTAGCTTCCAGGGAGGCTGGGTTGGTTCTGGGGAGTCCTGTCCTGCTTTCAGGAGTTAGACTCTATTTGGAACCCTCCTACGGAAAATGGCCAGGGATGAAAATGCTGAAATAATTCCAGCAAAAGCTTCACTTTAAAATTAGCAAGAAAAGGAGGTTCTTATGGAAAGAATTGCTTCCATAGTTAATGAAAGCAGACAGCCACACAGCGCTCAACACTTTATGCATACCGTACTTGACTAAATTCTCACAAGACCATATTCTGCCAGTGATTCTCAGATGTTAAGCAATTTGCCCAAGTTTGCGCAGTTTACAAGGCAACAAAACAGATTCCAACCCAAGCCTGACTAACTTTAAAAATCCAGCCCTTTCTGCCACAAAAAGCTACCTCTTCTAGCTCCTTTCATTTTAAAACCCATCTGACAGCACATAATTTATTATTCTTGATATTTGAGCAGATAAAAAATATACCCTCCCCCACCCTCCAAAAGACCAAAAAAAAAAAAAAAAAAAAAAACCCACCCCAAACAAAACACTGAATAAACCTTCAAGGCTAAATTAAAGCAGAATGCCTTGCCACAAAGCCATATGGGCTGGAGCATGACCACTTTATAATGGAGGCTGGCGACAAAAGTACATCTGTCCTGTAACGAAGCCTGCTCCCTACCACCCTGGATTAAAAGAGCATTTCGGGCGCCTGGGTGGCTCAGTTGGTTAAGCGACTGCCTTCGGCTCAGGTCATGATCCCGGAGTCCCCAGATCGAGTCCCGCATCGGGCTCCCTGCTCAGCGGGGAGTCTGCTTCTCCCTCTGACCCTCCCCCTCTCATGTGCTCACTCTCTCTCATTCTCTCTCTCAAATAAATAAATAAAATCTTTTTTTTTTTTTTAAAAAGAGCATTTCAACATGCTTGAATTTCCTTGAAAAATCAAGCTTATTCTCTTTTTGAAGAACTGTCACCTCATCAGATTCTCCTTTTAATTAGCAAATGAAAAGAATTCCAGGCAGTGAAGTTGTTGCCAGCTTAAAGTGTCCTTTCACTCTAGCACTGAAATCCTTCACTTTAAATCCTCTAAAGACACTCTGCCAAGCAGGATGAGCTCAGAATAATGACCGTTCAGTGTATCATAAGCATCGGCCACAAGTGAGCCACCCTCGCTGGCAGCCTGTCTTCCTGATTTTATAAGTCCTTGGACCGTGGTCAGATTCCAGGACTCAGATCACATGCCATGGAAGGACCTCGTAGCTGAGTTAATACGACCTCGAGTCCTGATTCGGTTCACACAACAGGCCTGCTGTACTATCTGCTTTTGCGTCGACTGCATCAGACCGCAAGGGCAGCACCGAGAATCCGGGGGCGGCCAACAATCACTCCACAGCCACTTACCCAGCTGCTCCAGGAGCTCATTAATCAGGTGCAGGAGGCTGGTAACGGAGTTTTTGGCCTTTCTGGCATTGATCTCGGCTTCCTGAGCAGCCTGCGAAGCCTGTACCGGGAAAAGGAGAGATGATACCGGCAGTCCTGACGGTGTGTTTTCATGCTCTTGAAATATTTTTTCCCCCCAGTCAGCCAACAAGTCCAATTTTCAGATGCTTCCTCTTTCCTAACTTGCGAAACTACAATCTCTCACTGTAGGGGTTTTGTTTTGTTTTGTTTTGTTTTTGGTCTTTCAGAGTATCTTCATGGTCAAATGTTGCTATTTTTAATTCACAGAACAGACACAAGTAGGCAGCCCGCATGCCTACACTGACTGGATCTGTATTTCAAAAAGACCAATATTATCCCCTTTTCTCACTTTCTCACTCAAAAATACATGGAAGTGGATTCGGAACCAAATTCATCGAGCAGAAACAAGTTATTTTTAAGGACGAGTATAAAAACTACATTTTAGAACCAAACTATGTCCTTCAGGACACTCTTAGAGACTTGATTATTAGAGATGTCCTATTCTCAGAGAAGTTTCATACTCAAGTGACACCTTCTGTAACACCCTCTCCCCCCTGCAAATGCACACGCACGCACACGCATGTGGCAATACGGTTTACATTTTGTAAATCAACCAAAGGTAAATATATTTGGGAAAACTCCATGAAACCTGAACAAATACCCTGTGCGTGAGTCACGGGAAATGACAATGGAAGAGGAAGCGTCGGAATATCAGAAAACAGATGCTCTCACAAATAAAATCCAGTCAGGATATAAACGAGCAGCTTTGAGCTCCCTACCACAAAATTGTTTTTCCTAGTGTTTGGCTCAAGACACCGCAACATTTTTGGACAGAACATAAGATTTTTTAAAAAAAGAAAATGCACGAGGAAAAAACCCTTCACAAATAAATGATGAATCTCTATTGAAATCACAGCGCTGACAGGCTTTCCTGCACATGTCCTAGACAGGGTAAGTGACTTCGCGAGGGCCTACAGAGAGCAATGCTACCGCGGGTAACCTGTAGGCTCCAGCCTCCTCTTCCAGGACAACCCTAAGCCTTTACTCTTTTGGTGAAAAAAGTTATGTGCCAGACTCAAACAATACCGGCTCAACGCTGTGTCTTTCAGGACTGACGTAAATACAAATGGGATGGGGTGCGTGCTGGTGCTTTGTGTTCATTAGAAGTTATTTACCAAAAAGAACAAAAGATGGATCTTCTTCCACCCTTTGAATGGAATCCATACCCTTTTCTTGGAGCTCATCAAGAATATATCCTTTTCCTTCTTTCCACAGGCTCTAAATGCAATGTTTCTACAACTATATTAAAAAGGAAATGCAGAGACCCTCTCACCCCATATGAGAAATGCGTATTTTTTACTATATGGGAATTTCCAATTGAGCCATACCTTGCTAGAGAAAACTGAGATAGTCCGAAATAAAAGCCAAAAAGCGTACTAAAATAAGGTGTTTGCATAGGAATGCTTCCTGTTATCACTTCCCTAGAGTCTTCTTTAGGTAAACAGGGTTACTATTTCTCCTTTCTGTCCCAGGGTGAAAATGAGCCAGGTAAAAGGCCTGTTTTCAGCAGGAGTGGAAAAAGGGTCCCTCACTTGTACTGAAAGTGCACAATTAAACAAGTTCATTACTGTGATTGCAATCAGACTGAACTGCAAAGTTATGTTTCTGGAAAATGCACCCTTGTTCTTTATTGGGCCATGCATTCCTAAGTCAATTTTGTCACCCACAGTGTTGTCTATACACATCATCACAAAAGGTAAAAAAAAATTAAATTAGATGTAAGTTTGGTATGTTTTTGTCATCTTCAAAAATGAAATACAAGAAACTGGTGTTTGCCTCTAGAAAGTAAGTTGCTGGGATAACAAGAGTAGGAAGGAAATTAATTTTTCATTGTATTCCTTTTTATTCCTTTTTTATTTTATACCATGTATGAATCACCCATCCAAAAATACAAATGCATACTTTTCAATGTCCTAAAACTTCAATGTGTAAAAGAATGTTTTGCTTTTAACTGAGAGAAACTTTGGACAGGACAATTGTGCAACAACCCCACAAGAGACCCAAATTCTTTGTCTTCTATGTAAGTTACTAACCCGATTCTTGGCCAGAAAGCACAATGAAAAACAGAAGACAATATGAAGGAGACTCTTCTTAACAAGATGGGGATCTTTATCATTAAACACCCTTCACTTTCTGCCCACAAGCAAATAGGCCAAAATGGCTTACCATCCCTGCCATCATCATATCCTGGTCAGCGTCCTCTTGTTTTCTCTTCAGCTCCTTTTCTGCTTCCTGTAGTTGTTTCAGCATATTGTTCACCTCGTTATCCAGGTCTGTAACTTCTGCAAAAGTCCTTTCGGCTTCTGCCTTGGTGCTGGTAGCGTTCTAGGCACATGATAAAGAACAGCTAGTGAAAAAAAGCTTTCCTCTTTCTAAAGTATGCTCCCGCATCTTTAATAATCTATAGAATGGTTGAAAATATAATCCAGAAAGAACAGGGAAGTAAATTATACCATACGTTGACTTAAGGTATCATTTATTTGGGTTCCAAGTAACAGTAAGGAAAGAAAAGCTAGCGTTACTGCCTAACCTAATAGCATTTTATATTTTATAAAACACTTCCATTTGTATCTTCGTATTTATCCTTAGTACTTCCTTTTCTATCATTGCCATTTTTAGTTGAGGTCACACAGCTAGCAAATGATAAAACATTTAAATGGTGTACACTTTCCAACACATCATATTGATTAGACTCTTTGACTTGGATACATTTTCAGTTCAAACGTAGTGGCCTTGTTCTACTTGGCAGTTCATCACAATGTACCAAAAAACCTCACGATCCTGATGTAGGAGTATTTTATAAAATATAATTAATCCAAAACCAACTGTTCTAAACAAACTAAAAAATGTTTGTGATTCTTGAATACATTCTTTTAGAATCCATTCTAGTCTCTCTTTTAAATAAAATAAACAGATTGACTTTTAAGTAGGAAAAAGCCAGCTTAAAGAGATTATTCTCTAAGATGATTGTAGAAAGGGGACGGACGCCTGGGTGGCTCAGTTGGTTAAAGCATCTGACTTCGGCTCAGGTCATGACCTCAGGGTCCTGGGATGGAGCCCTGCATCAGGCTCCCTGCTCAGCGGGGAGTCTGCTTCTCCCTCTGCCCCTCCCCTGCTTATGCTCTGTCTCCTCTCCAATAAATAAATAAAATCTTTAAAAAAAAAGATGAGTAGAAAGAATCCTAGCAGTGGCAGCTAAATAAGGTAGGGCTTCGATATAAAATATGCTCAAAAGAGGGGCCTGAGAGTTGTATTGACCTGGCACTCTACATAAGATTGAAAAAACATCAGCTGTCCATATCAAAGAACTGTGTTTACTTGAGAAGAGTCTGATTTTCTTGTGCAAGGCGCTCTTTGGGCCCAGGAAGCCATACCCCTCCTCACCACAGAGACCCTGCCGCCGAGACAACAGTAGAAATGTTCAAGGGCCCTTTCAACGACTTCAATGATTCGCCCTCTTCAGTCAATGTACTTACCTACTCTAAATGCCCAGTAAAAAAGGAACAAGGACAGCTTAAGGATAATCTTAGCAGAGTTGAGGAAGAAGTCTATGAGGGCTTTTAGGGATGGGGAAAGAAACTGGAAAACGACTGGAGAAACACAGGAGCAAAGAGTGCTGGGGAGCAGAGTGGAGCACACACCTTCTGGACGGCGCTGGCAATCCTCTCCGCCTCGTGGGCCTTGCTCTTGGCCTCGGTGGCGTCGGCGGCGGCACTGCCCAGAGCCAGCTGCGCCTCCCTTGTCTTGTCATTGGCTTCTATTATGGTCTGGTTGATGGCAGGGATTCTCCTTAAAGCCTCCTCTGCAGCAGTCTTGTTATCATTCACTCGCCTATCGAAATCTACAATAAAGCAGGTGCATTTGAGCTCAACTCTCAGCAAGCCAAAAGGGAACCTGTCAGGGAGTGGCAACGGGACTTCGTTTTACGAACAGTGAAAGTCGGGAGAGAAAAATGAAAAACACCACGGACGGCCTTAGAAGAAGGAAGCGTACAGCTTTAGAGTCTTACGAACGAACATGTTTCTGCAAAGAAGTTTATTTTTGTGCAAAGCACGGAGTATGCTGTTACTACCACGGCAACCAGTATTAAAAACTGCAGTTTATTTAGTGTTTACTAGGTGTTAGCTACTGGGTTAAGACCTTTTTTATATGCCTGTGAAGCAGGCATTGTATCAGTTTTATACATGAGAACTGAAGACTATGGAGGGAGAGAATTTCCCCCAAGGGTTCACAGGAAGTACGAGGTGGATCAGGGATTCTAAATCAATCCCACTGACACCAGGGCCGATAGAGTCAACCATTATCTTATAAAGCTTCCATGTTTATGGAACCTACGGGCTATTTTATCAGAGGCAACTCCGGGACTGTCCCAGGAATTGAGCACATTTCTTTTTTCTCTTGGGTGAGGACAGAAGGCACAAGGATTGAGATGCAACTGGCAGAGAAAATGAAAAATAATCTCCATTTAACAACATGAGCCAGCTAAATAGGCATATCTTGATAACATGAGTTATTCTAATATCAGAAAATTTCCTCTTTTTTTTTTGGTTTTATTTTCATACTGAGGTATGAAGGGGTAAAATGACCCAAGCTCTCGGATTTTTCTTTGAAATATCTCAGTATAAAAAAAAGTAGGGTGGATGTTGGGGGATGAAGTTAGTGTAGTAAAAATCATTAACTGTTGAATCTGGATGATAGATTTATGGGATTTGGTATACTCTTATTGTTCATATGGTATATGTTCTGAGAATCTCATGGTAAAAATTAAGAAGTAAATCACCTCAGTGAAGAAAGCATAGAAATGTACGCTATCATGTGAGTCTTTCATACCCTTCAGGTTGTTGAGAATGTCATTGGCTTCTTGTAAGGTATTTCGTCCCTTTTTAGCAGCTTCTTCCGCAAGAGCCTTGGCGGCATCTGCTCGGGCTAGGAGCTGGTCAGCAGTCTGCAAACACACGGCAGATCAGAGGACAAACCCTCCAAGGTGAATCCCTTCTTTCTCCTAACAGGCCAGGCAGCTCCTAGCTGCCACCTTGACACCTGCCAGCATGGGGCAGCTAGGCCGGTGCGCCCCACAGAAGGCCTTCCTCTGAATTCCTGAGGGCCTGCGGTCCCTGCACTTGTGGTGACATCATGGACACAGGTCACGCAGCACGGTTTCACATTTTGCCTCAAGAAATGAAGTCACCTGCAAATTAAACCAACCTGCTGTTCAGTCTTTCCCTTCTCCAGAAGCTTCTTGACTTCAAGTTCCTTCCCTCTCATGTCCTCTCGGAGGTCCTCATAATCTTTTAATTTCTGGTCAATCAGACGGTCCAGATCCTCAGCTTCCTTCTTGATTTTATTTGCCTCATTCTGTGAAATGCAAGTAAGGTTGTGGCATTTTAGACAAAACAATGAAACCGATGAAAAGGTAGGCTTAGTAACTCTGTAACACTTAACACTCAGAGATATTTTTAAAAGAAAAGCACAGGTCAAGATTATATGGACTTTTTTTTTAATTGAAGTATCCTTTACACACAGTAAAATGCACAGCACTTAGTGAGCTGAGCTTTGACAAATATATTTACCTGTGTAGCCAACACCCCAATCAAGATACAGAATATTTCCACCCCAGGAAATTCGCTTGTGTCTCTTTCCAGTTAATGTCCACACCTACCTTTTCAGCAATGCAGCTGCCACTGGTCTGGTTTTTAATCACTGATTAGTTTTGCCTATTCTCAAATTTCAAATATGCAAGATCAGACAGTATGTACGTGTCTGAAGAGACCGAACTAAACCTTGATGGTAAAAAAATCAAGTCAACGCCTCAGATGTAAAAAGCGAAACTTAATTAAATTTCAAATTCAATGTAAGAAATAGCGTTTATACAGAGCCTGGAATGAGGATTCATGAGGAGAGTACAGACGTAATAAAATCCTACCAATCCCCAGATATTTTAGCTGCCCAGCAGCATCCTGATATAGCTCTTTTTTTTTTTTTTAAAGATTTTATTTATTTATTTAAGACAGAGAGAATGAGAGAGAGAGCACATGAGAGGGGGGAGGGTCAGAGGGAGAAGCAGGCTCCCTGCCGAGCAGGGAGCCCGATGCGGGACTCGATCCAGGGACTCCAGGATCATGACCTGAGCTGAAAGCAGTTGCTTAACCAACTGAGCCACCCAGGCGCCCTAGCTCTTTCATTTAAACCATTTTCTTTTACTTCTCTCTCGTTCTCAAGCACAGACTGCCTGGGCGTAACGGTCTGGGTGTACTCTGCTCTAATAAATACAAATATGTAATAATTTGGATTTATAGTTAACACTTCGGAGTGATTATTCCTATCACTAAAGTAGTCTTTGCTGTTTAATCTTTATACTCACAGGATTCTTGACCTCAGTAAGTGAACATATCTGAAGCAGAACTTGACATTACCAGTGAGTCAGCTGGAGGACAGAGGAGGTCGGTACCAGTGATAGCTGCAGGGCAAGTCAGAATAGCTCTTACCCGGACTGTGAGGGATGTGTGTGTGTGCGTGTGCACACGTGTGTGCGTCTGAGGGGCGAGGGTGCATACTATGTGTGTGTGTGCGTGTGCACGTCTGACGGGCGAGGCTGCGTGCTATGGCTGGGTGACGGCAGTGACCGCCAACACCCCGTGCACACAGGCTGTCCACCCCATACCTCCAGAGCTTCCGAGTCCACGGGCGTCAGCTGAGCAACACTAGCATAGATCTCCACCGCTTTATCTCCAGCCCTTTTGGCCTCCTCGTGTACTCTGGCAGCTTGCTTTTCCAGATCCTGTGACATGTTCTTCGCTTGTTCATACCTAAGGAACAAAAGATTTAACGAAAAACTTGGTTGCTTTTGGCATCTTCATGTTAACCACATTCATTCTGGTTCAAATCACTGCAACAGAATTTCCTAAAACTTCAAAGAAAATCCTATTAGTTAATACCAAAACAGCTTAAATTTAGATTTCATCTTGTCACTTCTATTTATACCATATGGTTTACCGCGTATTTCTTATTTTGGACACCTTTTAAATATGTGTAGCGCAAGTATATTTTCTCTACTGACTCTATGATACTTTTTTTTCATTTATGCAGAAATTTAAGTATCACGGCTAGTCTTGTTACCTTTGTGTGTAGTTACAGGAATTGGAATGAATAAAACCTCTGCGGCTCTCCAGCCCCTGCTCTAATTACTGCACCATTTCAAAAGCATGATTAACAAAAGAAATCTTACTGCATGAATGCATGCACTGAATCCATCAGCATTTAATTTTTCATTGAACCAGTGCTACTTACAAGATAAACCAAAGGGCCATAAGCCACTTTTAAATGACACTCACTTTCTATTAAGCTCTTCAATCTCAAGAGCTGTTTGGTTTTCTCCTGCCAGTGTTCTCAGAAGCAGATTATATGCCTCGGTTGATGTATCATTAGCTGTCTCTGCCACTCTTACGATATCATCAGCTTCTTGTTTATGGCTGTATAATGTAAAAGAAAAAATAAGCCATGAAACAGAACTATTTCATAGGGAAAGAGGCAGAACTTAGGTAATGCTTACCTTATTAATATATACATATACTAACATGGACAGAGCTCTATAAATATTGAAAAACTTATAAATTTGGAATTTTGCAACCATTTCAGTGGGGCTAAGTTTACAATAGCATTCTACAATCTGAAAAAAGTGGTATTATCCAGATGACATTTTCCTATAAAGTTCATAGGGGCAAATGTCTATATTTCTTCAAAAAATTACTTCTAAATAAAATCATTTAAGAATAATTTATCTATAAGACCATGTATGGGGGCGCCTGGGTGGCTCAGGTGGTTAAGCATCTGCCTTCAGCTCAGGTCATGATCCCAGGGTCCTGGGATCGAGTCCCGCATCGGGCTCCCTGCTCCTTGGGAGCCTGCTTCTCCCTCTGCCTCTCTTTCTCTCTGTTTCTCATGAATAAATAAATAAAATCTTTAAAAAAAAAAAAAAAAAAGACTCGTCTAGACATAAACATGAACCCCAGACCTAATGTTTAATCTTCACTCTGGTTCAGTTACTACATAGTCTCGAAACAGCCTCCAACTATTCAAACTTCTCACATATAACCTAATTACTGACAGGAAAAGCACCCTGACACCAAATGGAAAGCAACATTTCAACAGGGAATCCAGCCAAATAATGCAAATTTCAGCTGAGGAACTGCTAAGGTTTTTTTCAGCTCTAAAATGTCATATTACAGTGTCACACTGTAACGTGTGGCCGTTCGGTTTCAGTACGATAAAGGTTTCTTTCAAAATTCCTGTATGAAAGACACCAGAATTATTTTATTTTCAAGACCTAATTTCCTTGGGAGTTTTCCATATGTTTTCAGCTATCTTCTTTTCATCAGAAAATCTAGCTATGAAACCATGAATGTTCTGTGAACTAAAGGATACAACTCACCCATTTCCATTTGCAAAGAATAGAAAGAGAGCACATGTTAAGGCAAGAAGCCAAAGTAATTGCTCTGAACAATGAGGCTAAAAGTTTAACATCGGGCTTACTTAAGAATCCCACACCCGTGAGGTCTACTAGCTCTGTTCTGCAATTCATTCAACAAACACTTATTGAGTACTTACTATATCCCAGACATTGTTTGAGGTATTAGAACTTTAGTAGTGAGTGAAACACACAAAAACACCTGCCTTTGTGAAGCCTACGTTCTAGCAACTACCTTAACAAACTTTTTCAATTTAATGCTCTCTTACAACTTAAAGTTTTTCCTAAGAAACTACCTTATACTTAATAATTTTAAAAATCTCAAAAAAAAAAAAAGAGGAATGAAATGGTCTGTTTTCTTGGGCTGATTTTCAAAGGTACTATGGGTTTGTAAACGTTTTCTATTAAAATCTGAGAATTAAACAGTTTTGTTAAAAATTAATTTAAAAATTAAAAATATAACTAAATTCAACTGAGCTTCTTAGTTATCAACTTTAAGGTTTTGAAATTAAAAATCTAAAAATGTTATGGTTTTCTTTGAGATGTGCAAATATAATTTCCCTCCAAAGCATCATGTTCAAATATTCAAAGTAAATATTCTGATTTCAAAGGAGAGGCAAGAAAAGAGTACACACAGCCAATAACGTTTTAGAAAAGAGCCAACTTTACAAAAGTAGGTTATATGCGAAGTGTTTGTGGGTAAAGAAGGGGACAACATGTACACATGTAAGTTATAGCTTAACCATTAAGACACAGGGATCTGGAGGTTACCGTTCAGCAAGCTTTCGTGCCTCTTCTGCCAAAAGAGTCATGTTGTTTGGGTCCCCTGTAGACTCTGGCTGAGTGATTGACTGAAGAGGAAATAAACAGAGCACTAATCTCAAAGGACTGAATTATTTAAATTTAATACAAGTGTCAAAACCAAATTTGTATTAGTGTTATTTAACAAAAAGAATGTCTTATTGATTCAAAGATCCTTCATTAATATTAGCATCCTTGGCTACAGATTACTATTTCTATTCTCATCAAAGGATAAAGGAAGTTTAAACTGACTAGTGCCATAGAAGGAACAAAGCTAGAGAAAGGACCCAGATGTCCTTTGGTTGTTATCCAATTTGTGATTAACTATTTAATGACAATTTTGAGCAACGTGGCTTTCTTGCTCCATGTTTAGAGACAAAAAGACACAAAGAGTCAATTTAGCTGAAGCATTCTGTGGACAGTAAGAGACTTGCTACAAAGTACCAAGGGACTCCTGCACCCGAACCTCAGACCTTCCCAATCACTCACCACGTTGGCAACAGCAATCTTTGCTTTCTCAAGTTCTCGGGTCGCAATTTCAATCAACTGCTCTGTGCTCTCCACCCTGGCACGTGCTTGCTCAGCCAAGTTTCCAGTCTCTTCAATGGTATTGCGGATATTCTGTAAACGGCTAATTTGGCTGGATAAGGTGTTATTCACTCTCTGGAGGCGGTCCATCAAATTCTGGTCAACATCTGCAATGGCATTGCAGAAGAAAGTCCATAAATTATCTGAAGGGGGGGTACATATCGCACATGAAATCCGAGGCACAACTTTATTCTTCCAAACACAGATCTTTCTGATAAGCTTTCCCTAAGCCCATAGGCAGAACTGGTCAGTCCTTACTGTGCCCAGTAGTACCTCCCCTGTTATATTTATCAGACTGTCTCCCAACTGTGTGCCTGTCTGTCCCACTGGACACGAGCTTCTCTTTCTTACTCATCACTATATCCCCAGTCTTACACGGTGACTGGCAAAGAGGAGACACCCAAGAAATATCTGAGGAAGGAAAACTTTGATGTTCCAGCATATGTCAGATTTAATCATAAAAACACAATGTTATTGAAAGAACTATCAGCCCTGACAGCTGGACATTTTTCTAAACTAGGAAAAAATCTAGGTTCCAAACAGATGTTGAAGTACGGAAAATTAAATTCATTTTGTATTTTAAACTAAATACAAGACTAAACACAGACCCTTGCTGCCCCCCCTCCCACTCCTGGCAGAGCCAGGTAATTTCTCTCATACTGAGTTCTGCTTTTGAATAGTTCTGCAAATTGTTTTTTATTGATTATGCCCATTCAACTTAAATCTCATACCTGGGTCTTAATAAATAAATAAGATAAATATACACCTGTGTAAATATAATTCTGTCATATTAAAATTCTCATAGGTCATGAGGGTATATTAACATTCAAGAACCATTAAGTCCTATTCAAAATCAATCCGTTCTTATTTCAGCAAAATGCTCAAAGTTGGCATTTAAATTTTCCAAGGAATGTGAAAAAGATGAGAGGTCAAAGTTAAGATCAACAAAGATGAATATAAGTTTGGAAAATAGCATCTTGTAAGCAGGGCCATCAAATACACATGCAAAGTTGGTGCAGTGAGAAACTCGCCTAACTATACACAGTGGCCCTGCTTGAATGATTAGACAATTCTTTGATAATCTAAAGATTTTTAAGAAAATAACAAAAGACCAAAAAAAAGTTGAAATTGTAGAAACTCATTTAGACTCAAGAAGCATAAGCAGCCACTGAAGTTATGAAAACCCCTTTCCTTTAGACCTTCAGGAATGTAACAGATAGCAATCTCTCCGGCCAGCTCTTTAGAGAAACATCAGAAACTGAAAAGAGAATAGATAATCTAACTTGTAGGATCACTTCAAATGCCTTCAAATTGCAAAACCTAATTGCACCATATAATTTTTTTTTTTTTTTTGCGCACCATATAATCTTTTAAAGCTGCAGAATAAACACAAGTTTAAACTACAAATAAATACTCAGGGATAGTTTGAAAGGATAAATCATTGTGGAGATATTCTTATTCTTGGCTAGTTTGAACCCAAGTAAGAAAGGTCAGCCAGGAACTCCATGAATCAAGTCTTCGTGGGAGGAGACTTTAACCCTAGCCTCACTATGGTGCTCCCCGAGCTATGAGAAGCTGCAGCCCATTATGTTCCTGCCTTTCAAGTGGCTCAAGGGGAGGTATTGACCATCCATGGTTTTTGTCAAAGCTTCTGTCCGATGGAATCACCAGCTTGGGTAGAGGAAAGTAGGTGGTCATTATGGCCAGAGGAAGCTAGACGTAGCTGGGGCTGCACCAAGATGCCGAACAATGCTGGCTGACCTCCCTTTCTGGCCTCTTGACTATTCCCATGTGCTCATGGTGTGGGCACCAGAGCTATGTGTCAGACCCCAGCTCTCAGGTGGACTGAGCTGCACTTAAAGATAACCCCACATTCGATTCTTCAGTGTATATGGCAGGACAGATGTGAACTTGTTGTTACAAGAGAATATATTAGTGGAAAACTGTGTGTCAAAAGTTCTTGCCAACAAATGAACATCCTAAAAAAAACACTAGTGTTTACACAGAACAGGAAACATATAAATTCTTCTTAATCTACGTTTAACACTTAAAATGTAACAACAACACAAAAGACAAACACACAACTAAAGTTAACAAACTACTGACCTCTCATTTTATTTTTCAATTTCTAAAAATTTACCTTATAAAACAATTTCTGACACTCATATAAAAATTAAACTGGCCAAAACCAGATACATCTCATTACTTCCTTCTTTAACAATTTTATAAAATCAAAATTATATATATTAGGGATATCTACAATAAGAAATAAGTAATATACTTAATTTCTGTTGACCTATACTCTGACAGGAAGACCTAACTCCAAATGGGTAGATTCATAAACTCAATAAAGAGGTCAATCATTGTGGTCCCAGGTGTCCTAATGTTAATGAACATTTGCTATGAGTGGAAAGCCCCTAAACAAAAGTGACCTCAGCCAGGCGGTGAGTACTTCGATAGAAGGAGCACAGTCTTATTTATCTTTTCATTATTGGTGTTTAGCACAATGCTTGGTATACTATAGGCCCTCGGTAAGTGTAGGAAAGGATTTGTCCAAACTTAGAAAAAAAAGCTTAATTCAGAGTAAGTAAGAAAAATAAAATATGAAAGTGATTTAAGGGGTGCCTGGGTGGCTCCATCGGTTGAGCGTCCAACTCAATTTTGGCTCAGGTCATGACCTTAGGATTGTGAGACTGAGCCCCATGTCACGCTCCACACTCAGCACGGAGTCTGCTGGAGATTCTCTCTCTCTCCCTCTGCCCTTCCCCCAGCTCGCTTGCTCTTGCTCACTCTCTCTCAAATAAATAATCTTTTTTAAAAAGTGATTTAGGGCGCCTGGGTGGCTCAGTTGGTTAAGCGACTGCCTTCGGCTCAGGTCATGATCCTGGAGTCCCGGGATCAAGTCCCGCATCAGGCTCCCTGCTCGGCAGGGAGTCTGCTTCTCCCTCTGACCCTCCCCCCTCTCATGTGCTCTCTCTCTCATTCTCTCTCTCTCAAATAAATAAAAAATCTTTAAAAAAAAAAAGTGATTTAAAAAGCACGTAAATAATGTAAAATAACTTTTTCTTAGTTTCAAAGTTTCACAAATTCAGGTTCCTTTAAAGTATTTTAAAATAAACTGTTTTCTAAATCTTAAGCCAATTCCTCTGCTTATTATCATCAGTCTCATCAGATAATATACAGAGGAGCAACACAATTGCAAAGGACATTAAATATGCACATAATATAAAATATATGCTTTTACATGATGTTACTAGCACATTTGTTCACTTATTAAGCAGAAAATTTCATAAGCAGGCACTAATTTCTAATCCTTCATAAATATCAGGTGTTATATATTTAGTATCTAGCTGTTTAGTCAATACTTGAAGATTACAATTTTTCCTTATGAGGGTCCTTTCTAAGGAAATAAAGCAGTGCGTAAAAAAAATTCTCACTCAGTAGACTGACAGAAGAATCCAAGTTCAAATTTTCAACTTAAAATAATGCGCACCCAAAATGCATACCTTTCATGATTTTTAAAAACTGTTTTAAAACACTTTGTAATGGAAGAGATTTATACAACACTTGGAATTTTAGCATTTAATAGTTTCTGATGTGTTGGGAGAATTATTTTTGCTTACTGTATCTTAAAACAAGTTCTTGTATTTTCACAGATTGCTTAAAAAAATTCAGATTCTACAAATAGTTTGAAAAATTGAGGAAGAATTTTATAAAGCCATACGAAATAACTCTGAACTAGGAGGCATGTCTAAAGACTGAGCCATCTGGCAGAAGTTACCCATTGTTTAACATGTTTACCTTTGACATCCTGGGCCTCTCGAAGGAGGTCCATAACTTCTCTCTCTGCTTCCTTTAGTCTGTCCTCAAAGGCTTGATCTGTCACCACCTCTTCCCCAGTTCCAAGGTTTGCTATGAGATTCTCTAATTCCTGGAGTTTCACGCGATGATCAGCAACCTGGACATAATGAAGGAAGAAAAGGGAAAGGTAGCACATATAAACATTCCTGAAGAACTCAGCTGTACTCCCTGCAGGAATGATCATCAAAAGGGTGCTCATTTACGTAGGTCTATATACTCCACAAATATCTACTTTTAAACAGATAACATGGGTAGTTTTTCTTTATTTCTCTGGCTTCAAGAGAAAAACTATCAAGCCCATTCCTTTGACATTAAACACTACATGTTGAGGATTCTCCAGTTCTGACCTCTCCCTTGCATTTTAGATTGCTTTCCTGATATCTCCACTCAGCTCTCTGATGGGTATCTCAACTCAATATGCAAAACTATACTCTTGATTTTCTTCTCTTAAATCTGTTTCCCCTGAGTCATCTCCATTTCAATAAACAATGCCTCCAGCTACCTTAAGCAAAAACCCCAAGAGGCACCCTTGGTGATTCTCTTTCTCTATTCTTGCCCCCTCTAATGCCCTGCCCCCCAAACACACATACTTACCCAATTCAATCCAGGCTTGCCCTTTTGCCCCACTCCTAACCATCATTCTTCACATAGCAGTCAGAGTGTTCTTCTTAAAATATAAACTGGATTTCCTAGCTGAAAACTCGTCAGAAAATCTAAATCCCTTATTATGGTTGACATAGTATGACATGAGCTGTCTCTACCAACCTCTCCGGTCTTATCACAAACCACTCCCTCCTCAATCAGGAGGCTCCAGACACCCTCCACCTTTGAGACCTTTGTACCCCACATTCCCTTTGCCTGGAACAGCCTACCCATCACTTCTCATTAGGCTTGTTCCCTCTTATTCTTAAGATCTCACCTTAAATAAATGTCCTTAGAGAGGACTTACATAAAGTAGTTCTCCCAGTTATTCTCTGTTTGTATTCTTTCTGGTGCTCATCTCAGTATGTCTTTATTTAATTTTTATTATTTGTCTCCCGACTGGAACATATAAGTCTTTGAGGACAGGGGCCATGCCTATCTTTTTTTTTTTTTTTTAAAGATTTTATTTATTTATTTGAGAGAGAGAATGAGATAGAGAGAGCATGAGAGTGGGGAGGGTCAGAGGGAGAAGCAGACTCCCCGCTGAGCAGGGAGCCCGATGCGGGACTCGATCCCGGGACTCCAGGATCATGACCTGAGCCGACGGCAGTCGCTTAACCAACTGAGCCACCCAGGCGCCCCAGGGGCCATGCCTATCTTGTTCATCATTTGTTCTCTAGAGCTCAGTGCACAGGAGGTACCCATTCAATGTCTACTGAATGAATAAATGAATGAATGAGCGAATGCCCTGTTGACAGCTTACCTTATCCTTCACCAGACGATAACATGCTGGACACTCCTGGCAGCCAGGCCAAGACCGATTATAGAAATAGTTCTCTTCACACTGGTCACAGCGATTTCCCACAAAACCCTGTTTACATTCACAGCAACCATCACCTTTGCACTGGAGTGAAAGAGATCCCTCAGGATGACAGTCACAGGCTACAGAATAAAGTAAAAAGAGTCTATGATATAGAAAGGAAGGAAGATTACATTGCCTTTTAACCCAGACTGATATCAATAAGCTGATGGTACTCTCATTATACATAGATATTTTTTTGAAAAACAGGCCAAATTATGAGAATTCAAATGGTTAAGTCTGCTCAGTAGAGAAAACAAAAATTTTTAAAGCAAAAGTGAGGTTTTTTTTTTTACATTTTAAAAAACTTTAAAAGATCTTCAGCGAAGATTAGAATCACATTCAGTATATGACAAATATTTCTATAAGCAATGTAGTGAAGTTTGAAATACTTTTGCATTATAAGGAAAACATTTTATTATTCCACTAATGAGAATTCAGTTCTGTACTTTTACCTCAGGTTTAATGTCAGTTCTCCTCCTCTTCTGATCTTGGTCTGCCACTCATTTTCTTTTATTATTATTATTATTATTAATTTTATTTTATTACATTATGTTAGGCAAAAGTGAGTTTTAAAGTACAATGTGCATCATCTCTGAGGGGACACATTTCATGTTACTTAGTAATTATAGAAATTAGTCTATTAAACTAATCAATGCCCTTTTATGCACTTCAAGAACTCTTCTCTACCTTCATCTCTCTGCTGTTTAATATTTCTCTCACTAAGGAACTAGAAAACCCAAATGCTAATATATATTTTGCATTATTTTATAGTTTGTTTACTTGCTTTGTTCTCTGAACTAGGTCAATGATTTATGCTACATTCCACAGGAGAAATGAAGGAATTCAAAAAGCAAAACACCAAACTGTTCTGAGGCCTAATTCCAGGCAAGTGTTTACGCCAAGGAGAAGCAGATGTGTAGATGTAACCGTCCCAAAAGGGCCCCAAGGGTGGGAAGCGACTGCAGCCGGTAAGTCAACCACCAAGTAAGTTGTGAGCAGAGTCTCTCACTGTCTCATTATCTGCTCTAAGAATGTGATCAATAAAAATGTTTCATTAAGCACAGTGGGAAAGCCCGGTAATCAAAGGGAGACATTCCTTGGAAAGACAAGAGACTGGAAAAAGAAACAGAAATACAATCCAAGAAGATGTAAATAAGGTGGCCGCAAAGGAACTAGAGAAGCACTCAATCCCGTTTTAGAAAAGGAGAATATTCACTGACTGAAGCATCTGTGAGGACTTAGGTCCAGCTCTGACTGTCAAAGTCTGTGGTTCTAACGGGAACTGGGCAAGACGTAGAGTTCTATGCTCCCAGCTCCTTACGTTTGCAGCCTTCGGGTCCAAACCCAAAGTGGTTGACCTCACAGCGCTCGCAGTGCTGGCCCGTGACTCCAGGCTGGCACTCACACTGGCCAGTGTGGATGTCACACTGTCCATTGGTGGAACCCAAAGCGTGGCAGCCGCATCTGAAAGGGAACACGTGATGTTTCTCCGGTAAGAAAAACAGACTCTCAGCAAACCTTCCCCCGGCCCCTAGTCAGCACAGAACTGCTGTAATTTGTATGAGAAAACAATCTACAGGGCTATTAAAACAAAATGTTAAGGGTTATTAAGTGCCTGAGGTTCAAGTAATTTTCATGAGTTCTACTCAGAACCTCTTTTTCTAACTTCACCCACCAACACGGTTCATTCCACTCCTAAAACCACTACAAAGGGGCTCTCCAACCTGGCACCACCTCAGTGCTGATCAGCAGGAGCTTTGAAAATAGAAATTCCCGGGCTGCGAGCCCCAGAGGGTCTGACTCTGGGCGCCTCAGAAAGCACCTCACGAGATGTCGTGTTTGAAAGGCTGCTCGGGCGACTGACGCAGCCAGGGCAGCTTCGTTCTACGCGCCTCTCCCAGCAGCCTCGGTACCACTGTCCCGTACTGCCCCTAAGCGTGCTCTGCTTGAGTGAGGCACTCAAATAATTCCTGAACAAAATCAAGGCTACTGTTACGGGTGTAAGTCATAAAAATCCATCTCTCTCAATTAAAAAAAAAAAAAGGCAAGCCCAGATTGCTTCCAGCAACGGCGCCTGGCGCCTCACCTCTCACAGCCCCGCCCGCTCTGCAGGTTGTAGAATCCGGGCTCACAGGCTCCACAGTCCCGGCCGGTCACGTGGGGCAGACAGTCACACTGCCCGGTCACGGGGTTACAACTGTTCTGCTGCCTCGAGGTGCCGTGGGGATTGCACGCACAGGCTAGGGTGGGGAGATGGAGACAGCAAGAGATGCGAATCACCCGAGCGAAATACGAAAATGTAAACAGTACAAACAGATTCTCCAGACTTCAGGTGAAGTGGCTGGTCTCGAGATGTGCTCGAGACATATTAGGGTTAATAAAATATATGATTAAAATCAATTTCACCTGTTTCTCTTTATTTTCATGTGTCTACGAGAAAACTTAACTTACACGACTGGTTCACACTACATTTCTATTGAACAGCGCTGTGTTAGACCAAACATCTGTAAATACTTAAAGAGACCACGCGATGAATTTTCAGAATAAATGAGCACAACAGTGGCAGAACCAGGCCGATGGCTAGATTACCTTTGCATTTGTCTGCTGGATTGGGAGCCAGGGGATTTCCAAAAAATCCATCTTTGCATCGGTCACAGTAGAAGCCAGCAGTGTTATAGATGCACTTCAGGCACTCTCCTGTCAAGCGATTGCAATTTCCAACAGCGTTGGGGTCAATGTTGTCACTGCATTGACAAAGGCGGCAAAGCCTCACTGGGCCGTGTCTACCCAGAGGGTCTCCGAAGTAGCCATCATCACAGAGCTCACACCTTTTACCTGCACGTGGGACAATCTGATGTTAGGAAAGAAAGACCTCAGACATTCCTGGTGCTGCTGGACACACACAGTCTGGTTACGAAGAGTCCAGGTGAACCATCAGATGGGAGGCCACGTGCCACAGTGGACAGGGCACCAGCCCAGGAGGGCAGAGGACCTGGGCTGCAGTCCTGGCAATGTGCCAGACCAGCACAGGGACTCAGGGCACATCCCCATTTTGTTATTAGGACGATAGCACCTGTTTTGCCTACTGCACTTCAATTGTCCTGAGGATTAACTGACATCATGCATTAAAAGTGCTTTGTAAATGAGTCAGGCTCAGGGTTTATTAACCTCTCCTGTCCCAAGGGATGGCACATTCATATGTTTGTTTTGGTTTATGATATTAAAAAAGATGAAGTGCCACTCAATACCATAAGTTTCCTATACAGCAGAGTAAGCAGGACAATCTTCCTAAAAAAGAAAAGACATGTGCTAATCCTTGTTTGAGCTGTGTCAACTAGGACAGAATCAAGAGTATCTTAGAAGAGAACTTAGAGATTGTCATTTGCCTCCGGCTTCTATTATAGTGAAGGGACCAGAGAAGTTAAATAACTTGCCCACAACCAAACAGCTAGAATCCGGGACTCTTTCCACCATACTCACTGCTCCTCCTCTTTCCTTTCCCACTTTCCCATCATTATTAGCTCAAGTTGGAATCTTGATATCTTTGTAGCTGATAGGGACTGAATTAGCTTAAGCTTTCTGGAGAAATAAAGGTTTGCTCATTTGCTCATTTAATGAACATTTGCTGAGCATCTCTTATACATAGGCACTGTTCTAGATTGTCAGGATGATGCAGTGAACCAGGTGGACAAGATCTCCACTCTCATGAAGCTTATGCTATAGCTGAGGGAGACCAATCCACAGACAATATAAATAAGAAGATTATTTTGGATCAGGATAAGCATAACAAATTAAAACAAAACAGAGCAACATGATAGAATGAAAAGGTAAGGACTACTTCAGATTGGGTGGTTAGAGAAAGCTCTGTAGAGAGGAGATATCTGGGATGACAATGGAAAGACAGGGAAAAAAAAACAGTCATGCTAATATCCAAGGGAAGAATGTTACAGAAAAACACAATGAGCTTATGGAAATAGTAAGAGCCAATCTTGTAAGTCACAGTAAAAAATCTGGTTTATATTAAAGTGCAATGAGGTGATATTGAGGGTTTTTGAAGTGATAAGCCCTGATTTACATTTTTTTAAAGATTTTATTTGAGAGAGAATGAGTAGGGGGCAGAGGGAGAGGGAGAAGCAGACTCCTCGCTGAGCACAGAACCTTGACGCAGGGTTTCATCCCAGGACCCCAAGATTATGACCTGAACCAAAGTCAGGTACTTAACTGACTGAGCCACCCAGGCAACCCTGATTTACATTTTAAAAGGATTATCCTGGCTGCTGTGTGAGAATGGATTGCAGGGAGACCAATTAGGAGGCTATTCTGGTGAGAGACCACAGTGGTGTGGACCAGGGTGATGAAATGGAGGCGGTGAAATGCAGTCAGATGTGAGATCGAGTCCATCACACATGCTGGCTGACTGCTTCCAGGAAATGAAAGAAAGCAGAATCAAAGACAAGCCCAGGAGTTTAACTTCTAGCTGGAGCAACTAGGTGGATGGTAGTATTTTCCCTGAGATGAACAAGACTGGGGAAGGATAGGGTTGCGGTTGAGAAAAAGAAAGAAATCAAAGATTTAGCTTGGATTTGCTTAAATTTGAGATGCCTTTAGTCATCTGACTCAAGCAGAAAATTAAATAGACACATTCAAATTAGCAAGACCTGAAGAGAGTTTAATAAAGATACTATCTATACGAGTGTGGGCAGGGTGTAAGCAATCCCAGGAGACAGTGCAGCCCCGGGGGTAGTGACTGTGGGGCTCTATTACCTGGGCCTCAGGGGCTGGGGGGAGGGAGCAGTTAACCGGAACCTCACATGAGAAAGGGCTGTTTGGAGAAAGCTAGTGTCAGGAGCTGAACACCTTGATGAAAGTCACTAAGCCACAAGGATACCCCCAGAGAAGGGGCCTTGGACTAAATACTCTGCCCCACCCTCCTCCCTCTTCCTGCTGCTTGAACACAAATGGAGGGCCCATGTGATATCATGCACACAGGTCCCATCGGGGTGGAGAAAAAAGAAGAAAGGATGTGCAGGGGCAAATGGAAGGCTTCCAGCCCCCCAGCCAAGCGGAGATGGCAAGTAGGTAGCTGGCACTTGGGAGAGAGCGTGGTCGGCGCCTAAGACGCAGATTTTTCAGTAGGCACAGAAAGGCTTTGGAAGCTATAAGATGAGATTTGTTCACCTGAGGGGAGAATACAGATAAAGTTGACATGGAAGTCTCAGGCTGAGAATCAGAAGTGATAAAAGGAGCCTCAAGAGAAGAGGGAAGGAAGGAGACCCAAGAGAGGGCAGTGTTCCCAAAGGTGAGAGGAGAAATGTCTGGGGCCGAGTGAGCAGTCACCAGCATCCCGCGTTGCTGAGAGAACAGGGTCAGAGGAGGACTGAAAACTGACCCCTGCATTTGGCAAATGGAAACCACTGGTGAGGTGAACAGAATCTGTGGCTGGGCATGGGCCAGGAGAGGAAGAAACAGGATGCTACTCAGGCCCTTCTTGTCTCTGATGTAGTTACCAGACCCTCACCCGAGATCCTTCTCCAGACCAGGATTAGGACAGCATGTCAGTTTTGCTTTTCATCAGATCATTTAGCCATTCTAGATATGATCTATATTTAAAATGCCTTGAAACCTGTTTTGAATAAAACAATTTTTTTTTTTTTTAAATCTGGTAGAAAACCTAAAACAGAGCTGCATGGGAGCCCATGGAAAGCTTTCACACCAAAGTATCTTCTGGCAACAATGGCTAACCTATCCTTTTGTCTCAGAGTCCAGGATGTAGGTCCAAGTCCTGGATGTGACTTTGGGCAAGTTAGGTACTTTTTTTTTTTTTTTTGCCTTAGCTTTCCTTATCATACCCTCCCCACCTCGGGAGAGGTGTTGTTTCTTCTCCTCTACCCCTCTTATGTGTATTCCTTTGCCTGAACTAACCACACTGTCTTACAATTATCTGTGTTTCCCTCTATACTTTTAGCCCCAGAAGAGTGGGGACCATCCCTTATTCATCTTTGCATTCCCAAAGCCAGGCACTCAAATAAATGTGATAAAAAAGAGTATCATTATTATTATTATTATTATTAATTTACCTCAAAAGATCATTTTAAAGATCAAATGTGTAGCATACCACGTGTGAAGAGCTCAGGGACTATAGGTAGCTATTCCTATTCTTCAGTAGTCTTCTAAATGAGGAACATCTTACCCTCTATCTGCAATCTCTGTTCGCTATCCAAAAAATATTTGCATTCATTCAACAAGCATACATACCAGGTGCTATTCTGGGTGTTAGGAATACAAAAGTCCATAGAACAGACAAAAGTCCCTGCTGTCATGGAGCTTAACAGGGGTTAGGAGGGGAAGATAGACAATAAACAAATGAATAAATAGAAAAACATGAAGTGGTTAAAACGTGCTACGAAAAAAAGGAAGCAGGATATAGGACTAACGAGTGATGGCATCATCTTTCACAGGGTCTATGCTGTTTTTCACGTGGACCTCTACACCCTAATTAACATCCACAAGAAGCACTATAGCTCATTCCCTTCAAGTCACGTGATAACTAACAAAACAAATATATCTCACAAGTCTTGTGTGAGAGACATCTGGTTACAGACTAACAGGTTTACAACATTTTGCAAGATCTCCTACAGTATACTCCATCTCTCCATTATGTATCCCAAGTAGTCTCAACTCCCCCATTTGTATTATTCAGCATAGCCATGAGAACATCTCCAATGCTTAACTTAGTTTTAGGCTTGCAGTCTACCCAGTGGAACAACAGAATGAGCAAAGGGGTCTCTCATCAAAACGTCATATTAAGTACATCTAGGAGCAGATTCTGCAAGGGGGATGCTATATGCTATGGCAGCAGAGTAAAAAAGGGTCCTAAAAACCTGAGGTAGGAGCACAGAGTAAGTGATGTTTCAACCAAACTCCACGGTAAAGAGAGGAGTTGAACAAGAAAAGTGAGGTTTGGGTGGAACAAGGTGGGGTAAAGCATTCTAAAAAAAGAAAACCGTGCATTAACAAGACATACAGTCTGGCTGATCTGATGCATTACAAGCAGCCCAGGACAGCTGCAGCAGAGACAGCGAAGGCAACAGAGGGTGGTGGGGAACAAGGTCAGAGAACTCCATCTATGAACCTCTGTTGGGCCACTGTTTTAAAACACACATACACAAAGAAAAGAGTAAAAAATCTGAAAGTCTACACTAGTTTCTCCTTATTTTCTCAACTACCTTAAGCAAATGATTGAATCTCTCTGTGTTGCAAAGACCTTGTGCTTAGTGTGGGGTCAGTGGAGTAGTAAAGGGAAGATGGGGTATTTTGATGTTTCTCAAGGATTAAAGAGTGTTTTGATGATGTACAAGAGATACAAATTGTTAGCTGAGTGGTTTTTCTGTCTCACTTATTTCTAGGCAGCAATACGTTTTGAAGAAAAAGTATGTAATGGAGTCAAGGGTTCTATCAGAAGCCTAGCCAGAACCTCTCCATTACATGGAAGCTAAAGTCAACGGAAAAAGAGGAACGCTCATCAGTGAGCCTTGGTCTCCTTAGTCAGCACGACAGTTCCTTGAGTAGCTAGGAACGATCTAGTTTTACGTTATTGACAAAAAGAAAGAAACTCAGAGAACGGGAACAGATGTCTATCCAAAGCTATAAAAACATCTTTTCCTAACTAAACGTGATGGGCTCTGATGCACTGAAAGGACTATTGAAAGAAAGAATAGAAACAATTTAAAGAATTTACACATTACCACTTTATATCAAGAACCCCAGGATAGCCCCACAAACTAAAAATCCAGTGTTCGTTCTCATCCTAGGTGGGTGACCATACGGGGCTCGTCACAAGCTCCTCCAGGGACCAGCCACGCAGCTGGGACACGTCACTTCACGTCTCCGTGCCTCGGTGTTGTCAGCTGTCACACGGGGAAACTAGCAGCACCCACCTCACGGGGTTGTGAGGATTACTGAGGCAGAAGGCGGAGGGTGCTTAGAAAAGTACGTGGCCGTCACCATGTTGGCCACGTTTGTATCAGATATGTGTTCTATGAATCCATAATGAATCCCATACACAACTTTTGCCTGTTTGGACAACTGTAATCACGGAGCCAAACAAACAAACGGAAGCTGCAAACGCCCAGGCCCTGAGTCCCGAGGTCCTTTTGCCCAGTGGAACACGGAGGGCAGACGGGAAGAGCGGACTGACCGGTGGTGCCGGGGGGACAGCTGGTACACACCACCTCCTGCGTCTTGGGGACAGAGGCACAGCTCGAGCCGCCAGGACATGGGCAGGGCCGACAGTCGGAGGTGGTGCCCGACGTGGCATCTCCGTAGTACCCATCCCCACACCTCTCACAGTGGGGGCCAGCTGTATTGTCCCTGCAGTCACAAACACCTGTTTGGAGAGCGGGGATGAGAACAAAGGCAGGTGAGCCAGCCGGTAAGACCAGGAGCACTTCCCTGCTTATCCGCTGGAGAGCACTTAGGCCCAGCAGCCCCACCCCCACCCCCCAAGAACCTCATCTCACCTGTCTCAGGGTCACAGGTCTCGCTGTGTCCGTTGCAGGTACAAAGCACACACGGGCTGTACGGCCCGAGACTCGGAGTTTCTCTTCTGTAACCCGAGAGGCACATCTCACAGAACTGCCCTCCGTAGCCCACAGGACAGGTGCAGGACTCCACCCAAGTGGCAGGCACCCCGGGCCCCGGGCGAGCACTTGTTAGGGTGACATCATCCAAATATCCAGCACCTGCGTGTGGTGTGGATAAGAGAGTCACTGAGCTAGCTGTTGTTTTCTAAAAGCTTACAGAAAGTTAATAAAGCTAAAGAGTAATCAGACACAAAATTCCAGAGACAATCAGCTATTAGTTTAACTCATCTATTGGAGGAGATAACCAGAAAATAGTGTTCATGACAGTCATGGGGTACCTGGTGCTAAGTATCTGGAGAGGCAGGATAGCAAACACATTGTTAAACACACACACAACCAGATCTGTTGGATTTTACAGTTGTCTCAATCACCAGTGTGAAAGAGGAAAGGCACTGGACAGTATTGTGGGGCAAGAGGAGATCAGAGTGAGAATGTAGGGGATGAGTTTACGTCTGTAGCCATTAAGCAGTGTTTTTGTTCTTTTGCCACAAAAGCAGTCCCTGACTATATAGAGTTCAGGGATAAGAAAGCAAGGAAAACACCTGCCAACAAGCACCACTCATTATATTTTTTTGCCCTGCATATAAAATAGGAAAAACTGGTGACCAAGTTTTAATACTCAGGGCCACTTTGGCAAATATGCAATTATTCCAAAGCCAGTATGCCATATATCACAATGCTTCCCCACTTCTAGAAGAAAATAAAAACAGAGGAAGCCGTAAATTGGCTTAGACCAATGGGTGATCCAACCCAAAAGGGCATGTGATGGCCTCAGCAGGAACATTCCACCAAGTGGCAGTCTTTAATTACATCATCATTATTTTCTTATGTTATGAAATATATATATGCCTTGTATAGAATTCTTAGAAATTGACAACCTCAGGTTGAAGGGCATCTCTTCTATGACTACTGTGAACTTAGTTACTTTTAATATATTTATGGATTTTGTCAACAGTTAGGTCATGAGATATACCCATTGGCTAATATGCTTCCAATTCTAACCATTCTTAAGTCTCCCATTCTAAAAAGTACTCTTCTTCTAATCTTGTCCCTACTCTTGAATTACAATCCATCTCTTTTCCTTCCCTTACAGCCAAACTTCTTAAAAGAATAAGCTTTATTTTACTTCTTCTCCTTCAAATTACTTGTCAAAGCACTGTAGCATAACTTCAGTTTTAACCCTTCTTAAAAAAAAAAAAATCACCAATGATTCCTTAGTCTCCCGATCCAAAATCCAATGGCATCACCTTTATAAACCCTTTAATTATTTCTCCTCCTTAAAATTCTTTTTTCTCCCTTGAGTCTCAACACATGGCCCTTAGATGACTATGTTTCTGGGGTTATACTTTTTCTTTCTATATTTTTTGTCTTATTTCCAAGTTTAAAAATTATTGCCCATAGGTAGTCAACCTTTTGATTCTAGATCTCCAGTACTAACTTATTCCTAAGCCCCAGACCATTATTTCTAACAACTTATAAGATATTTTCATCTGGATATTCACGTAGACATCTCAAAAACCAACACATCCATGCTGCAGATGCCACTCACAATGCCACACCACCCCTCTGACTCCACCCAAACAGCTTGAGCTTTCTACAGGAAAAGGTCCTCGTTACAATAAATAAATAAATAAATAAATAAATAAATAAATAAATAAATAAATAAATAAATAAATAAATTTAAAGGCATACTGAAAACAGCTTTGTTTATTTAACATTATAATGAACCTTCACTCAGGAATTTATAATTTTTCATAATTTAGCCAATAGTTTAAAGGGCTTGATAATCACATAGCAATAAATAAAAAGAAGTAAAGGTTAAGCATGTGAGCCAGTAGAATTACATGTAAGATTCTTAGACTATAGTTAGATATAAAGTCACCTCATTAGGCTTAGTCATTATAAAACAATGCTATTTGTTAATTTTAGCAAATTTTCTCCAGGTCCTTAAAAATGGTTAAACAAATGCATTATTTTTATACATAATTCACATGTAATGAGATAATTCGTTCCATTTCTTTAGAATCAGCACTATAGTATTGGGACTTTAGAGATAAACTTTTGCATTATTGTGGATCCTTCTACCTAATCATTTTAATGCTCTTAAATTATATCATAACTTACTTCTCTCACTATATGTCCCACGGATTTTGATAGAGGTCAAATTGTTTAGGAGCTTCTGAAATTCGAAAGGGGTAAGAGGAGGCCTCCAAGGGTAATCTGTTGCTTCATGGAGCCTAGGGAGAAAGAAAGGGCCACGTTAACCTCTGTCAGGACAGTTCTGGGTGCTGAGAAAGCATTTCTTATGCATTAATGCTGCCAACAAGTCAATGCTCTGACAATCCAACCAAGTCAGAAATGGATCTGTTGGTTTTTAGTACAACTGGGAAGGGTACAGTAAATAAAGGGAAGGCTTCCTTTGCCAAAGTCACCTTTATAACCCAGACATTTTTCTTCAACAGCTTGAGGCCTGATAAGCTTAGGTAAAGAAACCACTTTTATAACTCTGGTCAACTCAGATTTTACAAAGAAGACCGTCTTACCTGAAGACGTATTTCACAGTGGTCTCACTTGGATAGGAATTGCCCTGAGCGATCAAGGGCACAGACACTCTCAGACCAGCTCCCTCGAGCACCAGGTCTTCTGCAGAGAGGCGAGTGTCTCGCCTGTCCACCCGAAAGGAGAAGGAGAAGTTCTGACCATAACTCAACATCTGCTTGCCCAAGAACTTTGCTGAAAAGCAGACACAGTGATGTGAAAGAGCGTGAGAAGGAGCGTAAACAGGAGCACTCATCACAGCAGACTGCTGCCTAGCCTTACTTACCCGGAGCAATGAAGTACCGAGGAAAGTAGCTATCCGAGAGGACGGTGATATCCTGCCTCTCAGAGGACCACTCGAGTGACGCTTCAGAGCCATCCCTTTGTTCCACCCGCCACCCGTCTTCATCTGCAAGAACAGGATGAAAACACAAGGGCCATCACACTGTGAACATCCTGAATTCAGGTCCTCTATACACCACGAAAATATACAGGAAGTCACCAGTAAATATTTCTGAATACACGGATCCTAGGATAGTACCTGTATATGCTATATCCCTCAAGCTATATTTTGATTTCACATAAATTTATACTACAGTAAATTCTACAGATGTATGTTTTCATTAAATTAAAAAGTCAAACAGGGGCGCCTGGGTGGCTGAGTCAGGTAAGTGTATGCCTTCGGCTCAGGTCATGATCTCAGGGTCCTGGGATCAAACCCGGCATCGGGCTCTCTGCTTGACAGGGAGTCTGCTTCTCCCTCTCTCTCTCTCTCAAATAAATAAATCTTAAATAAATAAATAAATAAAAAGCCAAACAAAGAGCCAAACAAAAAAATCTTGTACATTTGAAAACAAAATGTTGCCACCATCAAAAAATCCTCAAAAAGTTACTCATTTTTAAAAAATACTGTAAGTCCAGTCTTGTAATTCTGGGAGACCAAAGGGAAGGTCCAAATTACCAATCTGAAAGGTAGAGGTTATAGGATAAACACTGTAGCCGACAGCATTTGTACAGACAGAAGAATGCCCAAAGCAGAAGCAGGGTGTGCAACCCCTAGGATTAGATGATTCCAAATTAAAAAATCCAGGTTTGCATCTGAAAAACATAAAGATATAATCAGGAATTTCTTGGACTTGAAATATGAGACCAGAAAAAACACAGCACAGCCAGAGAAAGAATGAGCTACCTCTCACAATTGAAGCCTTCAACATTGTCTTTGCAAACACATCTTCCCGTTTCAATGTTACACTCGTCTACGCTGCCAGAAGGATTACAAGAGCATGGCCTGTTGGATGGAAAAAGGAGTAAAACAAAGAGAGAAGAGAAATGAGAAAGAAATTCCACTCTTAAAGTCAACCTTTTGTTTTACATGTTAATACATTAAAAAAAAAAAAAATACATAAAAAAGCAAAAGGAGTCCTAAAGTCAGTTTTGTATCTGGATTTGGTTTCAATCAAGGATATGCCTCTCACATTTCCATACTAAAAACCCTGCTTCATCTCTGTTACAAACCAGTCCTGGACCATCATTACAGCTAGAAGTTCTTGAATTACTATGGGGAAAAATGTTCATACTGCTGCGGACGAGCCACGATATCTCTTATTGTTCTGGATCAACTACAGTTGGATTCTGCCCCCTTTCTCTGGTTTTGAAAAGTCTTACCTGCATCCTGCCTCAGTGAGAGAATGATACCCGGGCTGGCAACGGTCACACTTGTCACCCATCACTCCTGGCTTGCAGCTACACCTGCCAGAGCTATCACACTGTGTGCTGAGAGAACCTAAAATTTAAAGAGCTTGTCAACAACCAGAAATGTCAGTAAATATGTCAAAGGAAAAAAAAAATGGGTCACTAAAAACAATGCCTGAAACCCAAGATGTAATCTCTAGATGGTTACAGAGAAGAAAGATCAAATTTTAAATCCGCATTGTCTCAAAATCATATCCTTTGAGCCGTAACATTTTAACTTTCCGGACACACACCCTGCTCGTCAATGTTGAAAAACAAGTCACTCTGCACCCAGTGATCAACTGGACACAAAACCAGTCACTTCTCTGTGGGCAAGCACAGGCTCCTGAAAGCCCATGTCTAGAATTTACTACAGGCACAACAAAATAAAGGTCAAACTCTTGAAAGAGGAGAGCAAAGTCAGAGCACTTTACATCTCTGAACGCACACCAACATACCGAGAAAGTTCAGCCCTTCGAGGATCGTAAACTAAACAAAATCATTAACGTGCAAGAACTCATGAAGCAGCTAGCCTTTTCCAGTCAAAGTTCAAAGGGTCTCTAGGATCGGGCTACCAATTATCTTCACAAAACCATTACACAGGCCAAGTCCACACTTATTTATACGCACCAGAACATCATTTGAAAGTTTAACTTGGTTAAACAGAGTGGAGGTGGGGGGTCGGGCAGCTCCTGAGTCATTGGTCGGGACGACAGTGCACACACACTTCCACTCTTCCCCTGTGCAGAGGAACTGAACTCCCTGAGTTCAGGCCTAGGAAGCAGAGCTTTGTTTTCGGGGGGGGCGGGGAGTACTTGTCTTTCAAACCACCAGGCTGATGCTGGCACTGCCTGTCACTTACCCACAGGACTGCAGTGACAGGGAGAGCAGGCTTCGTTGTTCCCAAGGCGGAAGAAATTCTCCCGGCATCTCTCGCAGTTGGCGCCATCTGTGTTCCCCTGGCAGTTGGTACAGTGGCCCCCGTGGCCGGTGGACCGGTAAAGTTCAGGGTCAAAATAGCACTCCTGTGATCGGCCATTACAGTCACAGGCTGTTGGCCAAAACGTACAAGTTACGTCAGACCCATGTTCCTTTGATGAACAGCATTTCGAGAGGCTCTAAGCAAACCAAAACTGCGATTTCCCATGTCTCTGGGGCACAATGGGTGGTAGGATAAGAACACCCGCTTGACGCATTGTTCATTTGAAAACAAAAACAGGAGGTCAATGAAGGGTTGAGAGAGCCAGGCTATCAGTTTACTGAGAGATGTTCTTATCAAAATCAGTGCCATCGTAAAATACGAGAAATCCCTGTCCTTAGAAATCTCCAGGTAATCGTTTACACATAAGTGAAAGGCAAGTCAAATTGTAATTTTTCTGAATCTTTATCCTTCGTTCTAATACCAACTCCAACAACAGGGAGCCAGTTTATATTCAGGCTTTAATTTACCCTAACTTTCGGGCCCCAGACAGTTGAAATACGTTAAGACACTAACTTTCGAAGTGCCAGATTGCGTGCAAGGCTAGACTGGAGTAACCTGACACACATGGGTTAAAATTAGCACCTCTGTGGAAGGCAGCAGCATTGAAGGGAAATCTAGCTTCACTAGACACATCCATCTCCTGGGGAGCCACAATGCCAACCAGGTCCGCCATTAAGTAACTATGTTCCCTGCAGAACACAACTATATTTTAAGAACAAGTATATGTAGTTATAGAACTTCTTTTCTTAGAATTATGGATTTCACACAAAGTACCAGCAGTATCTTGAACACTAAATATAGTTTTATTTGGTTTCAGATAAACCAAGTTGTTTTAAAAAAAAATGTTTGAATATATATTTTTTCTTTCTTGTCACCTCCCCTTCTTTATAATCAGTTCTTTCATAGTATTATACTTGAAAACTTGTTAGAAACTTGAATCACTGGCACCAAAAACTAGAGTTGTGTTAAGTAACTTGGAGAGCTCCCTTTCTGTTTCTCTTCCCTCAAGCCTCCCCAGATTATCCCGCACATCCCACTCACGGCCAAACCCAGCCCATCCCCACCTAAATGGTTTGGTGCTCTGGGACTATGAAGCAGAAGAGTCCTCTTGTCTACACTGTCCTAACACATGGGTAAAGCAGACGCTCTGTCTCCTTCACCATCAGCTGGTAAGAGAGAAGGCTGTAATTTTCTCTTCTCCAACCCCAGCATCCTGACAATATTGTAGTACTCTCTCAATCTCCAGAAACTTCACTCTTTGAAGTGCTGAAGAGTGGCAAGGCAAGGAGGAAGGCAAACTGATTTAGTTTCTCCTCAAAGTCCTTTAGAAACAGTATTCAGTTCATTTGCTGGCCCAGGAACATTTTCATGATGTTCCTGGAGACTCAAGATATGACCCCATCACTAAGCAAAATACTTTTCAAACACATGTGTAAATTTATTGAAATGTCACATCTTAGGGGCATTTCACTGTTTCTGTTAAGATCTTTATCATGTGGCTTCTCATACTGGCTTTTACAGTTCAGTAAAAGAACTGAAGCTCAAGCAAGTGCCTAGGAATTCTAGAGGAGGCTGTACAATTTATCTTCAAATCTGGGATTTGCTGAGGAAAAGGAAAGATAAGAAAATCTGCTCTAGGCAACTAACAGAAATAGTCATGAGTCAAGATACTGGTCATTTCTCAAGGTTTCTGCCAATAACTCCAGTGAGTTCAGAGTGTCTTATTCCTTTATCAAGAGTATATGATAAGAAGTATTTATAAGGTCATAAAAATTATAGCTGCTTTAAAAGTTTCTTATTTTTAAGTCCTTGACACAGCATGATTACATAGTTTCATGGTTCCTTTCTCCTGAGGCTTCTTTCTCTATCTGTTCAGAATAAACCAAGCCATGATGAAGGGATAAAACAATGTGCAATCTTTCTTCTTTTACCCATTTCTAGAAATACTAGGATCTACTTTCCTTCCCAAAGCCAACCACCTCTGCATGGGTGAAGTAGGAAAATTCTCCCTGTTGTGCTCCTCAGTGAAATAAGGGAAGAATAATTTTGAGAAATGATCTTCTGAATGGCAGTCTTAGTCTAGAACTCAACACACCCAACACATGTTCATCAATGACCCTGACTGCTTGAGGAAATGACCGTTGGTAGGAAAATATTTTAATGTGCAGCAAAGACAAGACTAGAGAAACCATATTTTATAGTAGGCTACACTGGCCCATCACTTGGATCTAAGTGAAGTTCCAAACCTTGGAGATGCTGCTCCCACTCTGGTACGTGTGTTCATGAAGGAAACTGAACAAAATGAACATACATTTTTATTCATAGCCAACTGCCTTCATCTATGATTTTCCTCTGATGTGCATATAGTTTACCGTTCTGTGCTCTCCAATTACAGAAGCAGCACTGCCTTTCAGAGTTCTCCTTTCAAGGAGGAACAGAAGGAAGTCAACCATTCCTTCTCCCCACTCTGGAAGTCCTCAAGATAATTCAACAGACTCACGCAGGCATTCGCTGGCGCTCTCCGCAGTCGCCCTCCTCCACGGCCGGTCGTTGAAGAATGGCAGACACTTTTCACAGTCTACCCCGTAAGTATTATGTTTGCAATTACAAACCAGCTTGCCAAATTCATTCTTCACACACTCACTTGCATGTCCGTTGCATTTACACCTGGGAAGAGAAAAGACACCCAAAAATATGAAACAGCCACCGAGTCCCAGAAATGGATGCTGAAAAATGATGTACAAAGAGAACTAAACACAACCCCAGAATGTTTTTGGTTTGTTTTTTTTTGTTTTTTTTTTAGTTTGACCATTCAAGACCGTAAACTGAGGAGCTAAGCAAAATTAAATAATGGCAGTTTTAAGTTTTCAGGTAGGAAGGAAAATTAAACAAGCAAAAAAACCCCCCAAAAACAAAAACTACCCCAAACATCTTTATTTAATAGGGGATGGGGCATTAACAAGACAGAAGAAAGTCTCTAGCAATTTCGGAGGCTTCTACAATTTCTGGGATCACTTCCGGAAGTCAACTGTGTGTATCAAGTAGCAACCAAGCGTGTAGGTTAAGCAGAGCGAGGACCCTGAAGTCCGGCTGCATGGGTTGGGACCTGCCCTGTGACTTACCAATGTCACTTAACCTCTGTGCCTTACCCGTAAGACAGGGATGATGACAGTGTGAATTTCACGGGGTTATTGGGAGGATCAAGAAGCTGCTTTATTCACGTGCCTAAGATCGTGCAGGCACACTACAAGTCAAAAATTAGGTCACAGCTGTTTTCTGTCATAATGATTTTAAAGTATTCCAATCTGAAGGTAGTAAGAGACAGTCAACACCTCACCACCATACGCAACTCTGGTAGCCTCGTACTCCCTCAAGGTTGTTTGGGGCAAGAATCCCCGAAGGATCCCTAGATGCAGGGATATGCAATCATAAACTAAGGACTCATGGAAATGCCCATGAATACTAAAACATGTTCTGTGCCCTGATGTTTCCCTAATAGCTTCCTTAAAGATAGAATCAGCCGTATAGCTCCCACCGCTACTTGGTAATACATTTCAAACCTTTCCGAAACATCTACAGTATACCAGGATGAATCCCAAATTCATATCCCCGGCTCTTCTCTCTCTCCCAAGTCCTATCCTTGACTGGTACACAAGTTCAGATGTCCCCAATAACCTAAAATTTTACATATCTACAACTAAACTCATCTCCCTAAATTAGCTCATCTTCTTCATTTACTTCATTAATACTACCACCATTCTCCTGATCATTAAACTTTAAAATCATTTTTTTTATCTCTTTGAGATCTGATTTTTTTTCTTTTTTTTTATTCTTATGTTAATCCCCATACATTACATCATTAGTTTTAGATGAACTGTTCCATGATTCATTGTTTGTAAAATCATCTTTGACTAAAGTCCTGATAATTCTTGCTTCACAATAAAATCCATGTAAAATGTTCCTTTCTTTCCATTCTATTGTCACCACCCTAATGTCAGGTATTTGTCACCTAACATGCAGATCACAGCATCATAACAAGAATATAAATTCTCTCAATGGTACTCTACTTTCACCTTGTCTGCAATTAATCTTCCTAACCACTGTTTAGATATCATCGGCCTACTTCAAAAAGTACATGGTTTCTCATTGATTACAGTCTCTGTCAGCTTTCACTCTGTCAACTCTACAAATTCACAGAGGAGATGTTCCCTAAGCCGAGCAGGTATATAATCTCCCAACCCTTCACTTCTGCTCATGACATGCCTATCCTGCATCCCACTCACACATCCTCCTTCCTTATCCAGGCTTCAAGGCCCCGCTTAGTTTCCATCTGCTTCTCTAGCTTGACAGTTCTGTCTCATTCTCTGATATATGGCCTCTTTTTATCTAACACATGTGTTTTAATTTTTCACGTGTTCATATATCGCCTGCTCCACTCATCTGCAGGATGCTAGAAGGTCAAGTCCTTCTCAGCAGGTGAATGTCTCATGCTACCTTGGTGGCTTCAGAGGGCCTGCCACAGAACTTTGCACTGAGGTGCTCAGTAAGAATTCACCAACTGTGTTGATCTGACAAGGTTTTAGAAAACCTAAATTACTTTGTTTCCAGGATAATGAGAAGGTCTAACAAATTATTAATATGGTTGTAAGCAAGTTGTTACACTCTCTTCTAAACCACAGCTCCAGTCACTTTCAAAGTTATTTAACAGTCTACTTACCTACCACCCACAGCAAAATCAGAGATTGCGTAATAATAGGACTTGAGAACTTTGGGGTCATTAAACACTTCATCTCCAAAAGTATTCAGGCGATTGAGAGTTACTCTGATGTCAGTGGCAGTTACCCATTCCTGTCAGGAGGAAAGAAAAGAAAAGAAAAGAAAAAAACAGGAAAAGGTAAAGGGGCTGAAGATCAGAGACATAAATGTGACAACATTTTCTAAATTTTTCAAATAGTTAATATATCATGTGACTTATGTCCTCTTCTAGCATCAAATCTGTTACAATGCCCAATGACTCCCTTAATTTCCTAATATTTGACTCTTCCCTTCTTTGATCTAAGTTGTTGTGTCACCACTCAGAGTCCCAAAAAGCAGGAATACTACTCGTTTCTTCACAAGGTTGTTGAGAGGCTTACATGAAATATACTTTTAAATGCTTTGCATTCGGGAGGTACTCAATACACACGTCCCTTCTCTCCAGCCTGTATCCGCACCCCAAATCCAGTCCGAGAAGCCAGCGCAGAGCTCATGGAGCACCATGGTGGCATGCGATATGCTGGTTACCGCCTCCGCCTGGCCATTTTGTACCATCTCTCTCTCCCTCCATCCCCGATCTGCTACGGACAGATCTGGGAGAGGCATGCAAGTATAAAGTAATAAATCATGACACGGGCCGGAACCAATCAGATGCGGTTTTTGTGTTGACCTTTCCCATAATGTCACTTCTCTGGGAGGCCTTTCCTGGCCACCCAACCTAGAATTGCTGCCCAGCCCAACACCCTGTTTCACTTGCCTATTTTATTTATATTGTCTGTTTCCACCACCACAACCCCACCCCCAGCCTGCCACCACCGCCACCATCAAGACTGTAAGCCCCACGAGGGCAGGACTCATTTTCTTTGTTGACTGCAGTTTCCCTGGTGTTTAGCCTACAGTAGGTGCTCAAGTAACATTTGCTGAGATATCATCAGCCTACTTCAAAAGAAGAAACCACAACTGATCAAATTGGTAGGTGTACCATAATGACAGAGGACAAGAATGAAAGTCAACGTTTTCCCCTAGGTTTTATGAGATCTAAGCCCTTATAATAAATGCCCTTTCACTGAGCTAATTTTAGTCAGATGTTTACATCTGTGGTGGACTGTTAGAATAATGATTCCAGTGAATCATGTCTGCCAGTGTCCACACCCTGATTCTGGGCTGGGGCATGTGATTTGCTTTTTGCCCGGGGGACATGAGCGAATGTGACACAGGCAGAAGTCTGATAAGCACTTGTGCCCCGGGCTTACCCTCTTGGAATACTTCTGCCATCACGCCAGGAAGCCTAGTCTAGCCTCCTTGAGGCAGTAAGACCACAGAGGGCGAGAAACCTGGCTCCCAGCCGACCTGCCAGTGAGTGAGCCCACACCAACACAGAATCATGAGAAATAATAAATCGTGGTCATTTAAAATCACTAAGTTTTGGAGTAGCGTATGACCCATGACCGCCCAAAGACACCATGTAAAGTCCCTTCCTGGGACTGCCTGTCAGCATCACCCATGGAGACGCACCAAGCAAGTGTCTGAAGGCGTCTGTGTTTTCAGAAGGCTCCCCGTGAGACAGGGAGGCATGCCCCTGATCATGCAGCATGGCCCGAACCATGCCAAACACCTGGCACAGAGAGCAACCTAGAGGGCTCATAAAAGCTACTCCCCGTGAAGCCTCCAAGTATAATTAGAAAGGAGAAGAGATGATGATTCCACTGCATCCAAACTTGGAACTCCAGTAACAGCTCCCACTCATGGCCACAATGTGAGGAATCTTTGAGTCGTCTGTAATGTAAATAGCTCAACATATCTCTGTGTTTAATGCTTATTATATCTCCTTTGAGCTTCATCTTTATCACAGCTCTCCTTGAATAAAAGCTTCTCAAGGGCTGAGTCCAAGTCATTTTTTCCCACAACAGGCATCTTAAAAAGAACAGGCTCTGGAGCCAGACTTTCTAGGTTTTGAATCCCAGTTCTGCTGCTTAAAACTGGTGATTTGGGGCAAGTTATTGGATCTCTTCTGAGAAATGATGTCGATGCCCCATTTGTAAAATGGGCTTAACAGAAGTATCCACCTGTAGAGTTACTGTGAGGGTTAAATAAGTAAATAGTATAGAGAGTGTGTATATACATCTATAGTAAATATAGCTAATATATCTAAGGGGCTCAGAACACTGCTTGGCACATTATGGCACATTATAGTAAGTGCTATAATAAATGCTGATTATTATTATTGTAAATCAGCACATGCTTAGTAATATTCATATACAATGAAACCAGGAAGGGTCTCCTCTCCCATCTGGGAGATCACAGCTTCTGGAGAGACGCACAGGAGGCAATGAGGAGAGACGGTCGTATCAGCTAAGCTGTCAAATCAGTTAATCGTTGTGAAATCAGCTGAAGTCCGATCACCTAACCCTCCTTGGCAACTGGGTATGAAAACCAGAACTCTTACATCCAGAGACACATAATTAATGTCTTTGCATAATGACAGCAACTGACCAGATCTATTACAGATGCCCATAGCATTTCTACCACATTTAGTCTCATGAGTTCCTATGGAATAAGGAGTAGCAAACGTCAGGGGCGCCTGGCTGGCTCAGCTGATAGAGCATGTGACTCCTGATCTCAGGGTCGTGAGTTCGAGCCCCACGTCGGGTGTAGAGTTTACTTGAGGGGAAAAAAAAAAAACCAATAGCAAGTATCAGAATTCCTACAGCTGGGGGAACTGCTTCAAGACAGGCTGAGAAGGCACCCAGCTGGCGAGGTGCCAGAACACCACAGTCACATAGGTCACTGCTTTTTCCTGCTGCCTCGGCACGATCGTCAAATACAATCATCAGTATAGGAAGACACTAAGCTAGTAAATGTCTGCTAGTTGATCAACTTAAAAAAATTGTAGATCACATCTCCCCTATACATTCCATCTTCTGTTTTTTCATCTATCAAAATCATTTATTCTTTCTACTCATTATTCTGAACACATCTTATTACCATTGCAAGAAACACTTTACTGAAAGGCCTTTGCAAACATACTCATTGCTCACTAGAACCTCAGAGGTTAGCAAGATCAAGATTCACGATCTCCCAGCAAACTGCAGAAATACAATAGAAGGGAAGAACTAGACCCACAGAGAAACATATTCTCATCTTTTGCCACCATCCAAAACCACATGGCCAAATCAGAAAGAGTCCTCGAATATAATAAACTTTAAGAGAAAGACTGGAAGCCACAAAAGCATAAAGGGGCGCCTGGGTGGCTCAGTTGGTTAAGCGTCTGCCTTTGGCTCAGGTCATGATCTCAGGGTCCTGGGATCGAGTGCCGCATCGGGCTCCTTGCTCAGTGGGGAGCCTGGTTCTCCCTCTCCCCACTGCTTGTGCACACTCTCTTTCCCTCTAATAAATAAATAAATCTTAAAAAAAAAAGCATAAAGCCCAGAATAAAGGGACTCCCTATTTCTCTCTACTTAGAAATGACAACAGCATTTCATAAAACGTACATAGAGTTTGCAAACCCACATCCAGTCTTTCCTGTCTCAGTGAGTTCATACGGGCAGGCTGCCCCCACTTAGACGTCAACTTCAGCCAAAAGACAGAAGCATCTCCAATTCTGTGTTACAGAAAGATTCCAAATTATGGTGTATGAAGAATATTACATAGAATTCATGAGAAAAAAAGAAAGCTTTAATTCTTTCTATGCTTAAATGGGGAAAGGTTTCTGTCATGATGCTCAAGCACTGTACCACGGGTACCTACACTTACATCCCGTCACAAACACCAGTACCGCCAGGTGATGAGAAGGTTTTATGAGTGACAATAGCCCCAGACAAACCCAGTCCACATTTCCTTGCACAATAATGAAGGAAGACGGTATTCCTAAATATCTTGCTTCAACTGGTCCCCCTCTCGAATACTAAAAAACACTTTTCCTTTGGTCAAATGAAGGAAGAGATAAGGAAAGTTGTGGAAATAATGGATAAATTCATGGGGCACCTGGGTGGCTCAGTCAGTGAAGCGCCTGCCTTCGGCTCAGGTCATGTTCCCAGGGTCCTGGGATCGAGCCCCGCGTCAGGCTCCCTGCTCGTTGGGGAGTCTGCTCCTCCCTCTCCCCCTGCCCCTCCCCCCCCATGCACGTGTGCCGTGTGCACACACGCGCTCTCCCTCTCTCTCTCTCAAATAAAATCTTAAAGAAAAAGAAAAGAATGGGTAGATTCAAATACTCTCTTCGAAAGGTCAGAAGCAAAACGTTTCCACTGCAAGTAAAGACCCAAGTTAAAACTGTTCAGTTTTTTAAAAAATTTCTAAAATTTCTATCCCAGAATACATTGACAGGTACACGAGAACACAAGAACATCACCTGGGTGGCAGGAACAAAGCTACTTTCCTTCACATACTGAGAATATACAGGAGAGCAGAATAGAATCCACCTGGAATCTCCTAGCCCTACCCTTGCCTCTGAAGTGGGACCACAGGCCCCCATACAACAAGCTTCCTGCGTCCTGTATGCACGTGGGGGAACTAAGGGACTACAAAGGCAGCTTCCGGATGCATTACCTGCAGCACAGGGCTGTTGTCAAAGTTGTAGGCACTGGGCCTTCCTTCTAGAGTTGAGAAGGCCACGTTGCCCCCAGTGAGAGGGGAAATGTCACTGAATTCATCTGTGCATAAGGCCTGCTGCTCGTCCCCTCCCGTCCTGATGAAGCCACGGTTTGCCTTCGAGTAGGTATTCTCACATGAGCCACTGTAGTACTGGTAAGGAGCCCAGGGCCCATCTTCCCGTATGCGCTTGTAAATGGCGAAGCTCTCTGGGCGGCTGGTGTGGAACTTGAGGCGCACGTATGTGATGTCAAAAGCTTTTCCTGTGGGACAGACATGAAGTTCGTAAGTCGTACGTATGAAGCAAAGAAACTGCCTCTGTTCCCAGGTTGCTTTGGAACTTGACAGAGGAAGGATACACCCTAGCCGAAGATGGTTCCAGAACCCACAACACACTGGTTGTGTCCAACGGGCGATTCTAAACCTGGAAATAGTGTGCACTTCCCCAGAGAAATGACAGGTTATAGCTGGGTTCTAAGTTGGCTCATAAAAGCTTGTTTAAGATGTGCATTGTTGAAATCCCGTTTGCCATGAGAAATGGTAGCACTGTACTTACAACACTATTAAACAAAACCAAAATTGCATAAAAAGGTGCGTTTATTCTTAGTGCTGGTGCTTCAGCAAAAGCAATTTAATTAAAAAACAGAAAAGAAAATATTTGCTGGCTTTCTAGGTGGGTATTCTGGAAACTTTCAAGGTACTTAAAAACTCACTCTATTAATGTTACTTCTTTTCTTTTCTTTTTCTTTTTTTTAAGATTTTATTTATTTGCGAGAGAGAGAATGAGAGACAGAGAGCATGAGAGGGAGGAGGGTCAGAGGGAGAAGCAGACTCCCTGCTGAGCAGGGAGCCCGATGTGGGACTCGATCCTGGGACCCCAGGATCATGACCTGAGCCAAAGGCAGTCGCTTAACCAACTGAGCCACCCAGGCGCCCCCTATTAATGTTACTTCTTAATGCAGGAAGACTATCATGAGCCCTATTCTTTTTTTTAAATTTTATTTTATTATGTTATGTTAATCACCATACATTACATCATTAGTTTTTGATGTAGTGTTCCATGATTCATTGTTTGCGTATAACACCCAGTGCTCCATTCAATACGTGCCCTCCTTAATACCCATCACCGGGCTAACCCATCCCCCCACCCCCATCCTCTCTAAAACCCTCAGTTTGTTTCTCAGAGTCCATAGTCTCTCATGGTTCGTCTCCCCCTCTGATTTCCCTCCATGAGCACTATTCTTCTACTTATCTACCAAGTTAAGAGAGGAATTTGAGAAGGAGAGAAAGAGAAAAGGACAGTGATTAAGAGATGGGGCAGGGAGTAGAGCAGGAATGAAGAAAAAATTCCTCCAGCAGCTGAACAAAGAAAAAAAAGAGAGAGAGAGAGAGAGAGAGAAAAGGAGGGGGGGGGGGTTAAAGTTGTTTGCATATGTTCAAAGAAGAATATGCAAGATCCGAGCACTGAACAGGGAAGGACAGCAAAAAGGAGGAGCTACTCAGGTGCTGTCTCTGGAGGAAGAGCCACTGGCCAGACAGCTTGCTGGGGCAGCCAGGGCATGGTCTGATGGCTGGGACAGCGTGGCTGCTAATCAGCATTCCTTCAGGTGGGTCAAAAAGACAAAATGCAACTGTTTTTAAATCACCTTTCATTCACCAATTGGGTCTTTCCATCTCTGACAATATTTATTCTCTGCAACTTCTATGCTATAGTTAAGATCACAGACTGGTCAACAAGGATTTGTTGGGCACAACTACATGTTCAGTCCTATGCTATATACTTTGGGGGACAGGACGTGTTAGACATAAAAGGTCCTTGCCCTCAAGGAACTTGCAGTCTTTCCTCCCCAAGCGAATTAATTCTGCAGGAAGTACCATACTCGTCCTCTCCTACAAAGTCCACAGAAGAGGAACTCCTGCACACTCTCAGAAATGTTGTGGAGAGACTTCTGCCATCCTCTTACTTCCTCGTGCCCACCCATCCCTAGGGGAGAAGGAGGGATGGTCATGTGTGGCCTGGAATATCCTCAGCTCACTCTCCAGCCTCCTGAGGGCTCCTCTCCTCTCCTGCATACCTCAATGCAAGACCGTGCGTCTGCCTCTGTGCCAGGAGGCCTGCGGCTGTCCTGCTACTAGATGTGGGACCACGTGGATGAGTCCAGCTGAGCTGGAGAGGTAGGGGAGGAGGAAGAGCAGAAAGCCCATGTAAGTCATGTGTCCAGGCTCTATTTTTAATCCAGTATTATCCACATTAAAACTAATATGATGAGCCATACCTATTTCTTAGGTGGTCCAGATCTTAAAAAAGAGAAGTCTGATTAACTGTCCCCCATATACATGAAACACACTCTCACACATACAATTTTGAATGCAAACGTGTGTCACATGATGGAAAGAACACAGAACTGGGCACTATGAGACCTGAGCTCAGGTTCTGGCTCCTTCAGTTACTAGCTGTGTGATTTCTGCTCTGCCATTTTCTCCTCTGCAAAAATGAGGGTGATGACCCCTGAGCCACCTACCTCAAAGAGTTGTTGGAAGGTCAAACTAAGATCTTGCATGTACTTAGTTAATTGTAAAACTCTACACAAATATAAGGCATTATTATAATAGAGTTTAGAAGAAAATTCCTGAATTAGGATCCTGGATATGTCCACATAGAAGGGTCTGATTGTACCAGGGACTATGTACAGTTGCCAAAAAATATTATACAAATCTGGATCTTCTACCTAAGATGCAGTAAAACATTTTGCCTAGACACAGGTTTTGCAAATCCAGTTTACACCCCACCTGTTAAAAGAATGAAAATGTAACCTCTCTCTCTTTACTGTATCAAAAATGTTAAAATGTTACCCTTAAATGAGGGTATGGACTTATAGTAACTGTGGCATTCCAGAGACTAAGACATTCTGGAATGGTAAAACAATTGGGTTTTATTCAGGAACAGGTGGTTTGGGATGTTCAAAGGCTTACTCACTAATCTGTGGATTACAGATTACCCCTGCTTTTCTAGTCTGTCCCCATTTCTGACATTTCATTGTTCTTTAACAACTCAACCTGCAGGAGACTGGATCAAAGGAGAGAAGATAAAATGGAGCAGGGTGTGTTGTGTTCCAGACTAAAATCTGCACCACGGAGCCACACTCTGAAAGAAACCCGCTCAGGTGGCCACTCTCACTGCTGCCACAGACCCAGAGCAATGGGCGGCAGAACATGAGTAAGCAACTTGGCTAGCATTAAACTTTGAAGCAAACTAGTTTGCTGGTGCTGGTCCTACCTCACTAAGCCTTGTTTTCAGAGCTGCCTTATTCATTTCAACCCACAGCCACAGCTGGAACAGAAAAAGGGCTCTGTGGCCATCCGCAAAGGAGGCTCACACATTCCACATAACAAGACGGCCACAGGCACTGCCTTCAGAGATCAAGTCAATCCAGTAGTGGATACAGATGACTGCAATTCCATGTGATGAGTGCTTTGACAGGGGAAATGCACAAAGTTTGGGGGGCATGGAGGAAAGTCACTGAAGCTGGATTTGCGGGGTCAAAAAACATTTTCTAGAAGAAGAGACATCTGTGTCCAGGACCCGAGGAATGCAGAGGAATGACGTCAGCAAACAGGGATCAGTTGTCTAGGCAAATGAAACAGCATGTATGAAAAGCCCAGAGAACAAAGAGGAATGATCACTGAGGAGTTAGAGTTGCGTAGTATAGCAAGAACTGGAGCTATAGGCTGGAGATGGGCTCACCGGGGAGAACAGGCCAGGTCTGAAGCCACATTCAAGAGCAACTTCAGTCATCGGCTTACTATTAAGATTTTATTTGAGAGAGAGAGAGAGAAAGAGACAGAGAGTGTGAGCCAAGGGAGGGGCAGAGGAGGAGAGAGAGGGAAAGAGAGAGAACCCCAAGTAGACCCTGCACTGAGTGCAAAGCCTGATGACCCTGAGATCATGACCTGGGCCAAAATCAAGAGTTGGACACTTAACCAACTAAGGCACCCAGGCGCCCCCAGATTTGACTTTTAAAAGGATCGCTCTGGCCACTGCCACTGGGTAGAGATGAGGCTGGAAGGGACGGGACTAAAAGTGGAGAGAACAGTTAAGAAGATGCGGCAGGAGTCCTAGAGATGACAGTGGCTGACAGCTGGAATGGAGAGAAATGAGTGGATTTGGGTAAGGTGTAGTCAGTCGACCTCAGTAGTAACTTGGTAACCAATGGAAAGTATGGGGGAGAGGGGCCACTGCTGAAGCCTCCTCTACTTTTAGTCTGTGGACATGTTGTTTCACTGTCAAACCTTCTTGTCTGGAAGTAAGATGGAAGAATTAAAAATAACTTTCAGTTCCCTAACTTAAAAAAAAGTAGATGGAGAGTAGAACCATCCACTGAAATAGAGGACAGAGAAGGTTAAGCAGGATTGGAGGCAGGGCTGGAGGGCAGGATGGGGAGAGGAGTTCAATTTTGGATATCCTAGTTTTGAGGTATCTGTGGATCAACAAGAGGAAACGTCTGGTAGGGAGTTGGAAGTGAGTGGTCTGAAAGCCCAAGGACGATGTCTGAGTTAGATATACACATTGGCTGGTAGATGGATAATGAAGGTTGGGTATGGGTGAGACTAATGAGGCAGGGGTGCTGAGTGAGAAGGCGGACTTTTGAGATCACTCTGAGGGGCGTCAGCATTTAAAGCACACACAGCAGGTGGTGGGACTGTAGGGGAGGCTGTGAGGCCAGAGAGGGGACGGCAAGTAAAAGATCAGTATCATAGGGGCGCCTGGGTGGCTCAGTTGGTTAAGCGACTGCCTTCGGCTCAGGTCATGATCCTGGAGTCCCTGGATCGAGTCCCGCGTCGGGCTCCCTGCTCGGCAGGGAGTCTGGTTCTCCCTTTGACCCTCCCCTCTCTCATGTGCTCTCTCTCGTTCTCTCTCTCTCAAATAAATAAATAAAATCTTTAAAAAAAAAAAGATCAGTATCACAGATACCAAGAGAGTTTGAGGAGGAAGTAATCAATGGTGTTAAAATATGCTAAGAGAGTCATGTAAGGCAATGACTGCGATGTCCACTGGCTTCAAGCCACAAACAGGTCGCCGCTATACTCAGGGAGAGTGGCCCCGCGGTAGGGTTGGTGGGATGGAAGATGAATGGCAGATATGAGGCAGGGAAGCAGACACAGCAAGTGTAGTCAACGACATCGGGCTGAAGGGGAGGAGGAAGACAATAGTGGGATGGGACACTGGGTCCAGGAATATTTTTCTTTTTTGTTTTTTGAGATA